CGCGCTGCGGCCGGCGCTCAGCCTCGGCCGCCCGGCTCCCGCCCTCGCCGCCCCCGCCAGCCTCCGTCCGACGCCTTTGTCTGCCCCGTCCAGCCCGCGCCCGCAGTCGGCGTCCACGCCGCGGAAGCCGGTCCCCGAGGTCGCGCCGCGCAGGAGCCCCGGGCTCGCACGGGCGGCGATGGTACGTCCTTCGGAACCGGAGCCAACCGCCTACTTCAGGTCGTGGTCCAGGGTCAGGAAGGCTGCCCCGCTCGGGGTGGGTCGGCGGTGACGGCTCCCCCTCCAGTGCCAGAGGCCCTCCACCCGCCCCGGTGTCCCCCGCCTTCCACTCCTGCCTCTGCCAAGGGAGAAAATCCGGAGCCGCTTTTTCATTGAGAAATGAAAAGGCAGATGCCCGTGCATGTGGATAAGCGAAGATGTGAAAACAAGTTAGGTTCTTCCAAAGTGTCGTATGTTAAACAATAGAATGTTCAGGTTTTGGTAGATATTGTCAGGCCTTAAACGCTTTTAAAGTGTGGTATTTTATCGTGCATGAGCAGATAATTTTGAGCTTCAGATATTTTCTTTTGAGGATAGTTTTTTAAATACGTTTTCCAGAATGACATGCATGCACCAGCTGTCCTGAGAGACTGTATGTTTTACTAAAGATTACTTGTCATGCTTTCCCTTTCATACCTGTAGTCAGGCCCTAAAGCAAATGTTCTCCTAGATTAATTTAACATTAATTTAATGTTCTCATAATTAATTTTATACAACTTTTTCCCTTGATTGGAAAAATTCAGTTGTATCAACAGAAAAAAATTCACACCTAAATTACTTAAATCATCCATACACATGAAGAAATGGATATCGTATTTGAAAAAAAAGGCTGTTTTTTAAGATTTATTTATTTATCATTTATAAAATATTCTGCCTGTATGTGTGCCTGCAGGCCAGAAAAAAGCACCAGATCTCATTATAGGTGGTTGTGAGCCACCATGTGGTTGCTGGGAATTGAATTGAGGACCTTTGGAAGAACAGCCAATGCTCTTAATCTCAGAGCCACCTCTCCAGTCCTTGAAAAAAGTTTTTAAGAATTTAATGGAGACAACGTTCTTGAAATTTTAAGCTCTGGGGATTTAGCTCAGTGGTAAAGTGTGCTTCAACACTCCCCCCCCCCCCTTTACTACCCCCTCATCCCTACCCCCACCCCTGCCAAAGAAAAGGATTTTTAATTAATTTTTTTTCTGGAAGTTAAAACAAAAAAGCAGCATACAAGGGGTCGTTGTCTTGACCTCTCCCATAGACTGTTTTCTTGCTTTTTCTCTTTGCTAGGGGTCAACCCAGGGCCTTACACATTAGGCAAGAATGGAAGCCACCGCTCATCTACATTCCCAAATTAAGTTTCCACATTTCTTTCTCTACAGTGTAGATACTTACATATTCATATAAGTTATGAATCTTCAATTTGGAATGGGTTCCACAAGATACATTTAAAGTTGAATCGTTAAGGCTTTGTGACTTTATTAAGTCAGCAAACATTTTTTTGGAACTATCTGCTTTGCTGGTCATTCTTCTGATAAATTAAAGATAAAAGGCCCAGCCTAAGCTGAGTGTGTCAGTATACACCTGTAATCCCTAACCCTGAGGCAGGAGGATCATGAGTTAGAAGCCAGCCTGGGGTACAAAACAAGACCCTACCCCAGGTGGGTAAAAATGAAATTCTATGCTAGGCAATACTTTCTAAGTGATTCAACTAATTCTTGAAAAAACTTCTGTCAATTATTGGCCAAAGTAAGATAAGAAAAAATAATTGTCATATTAAATTGTGATGCACATTTTGCCAAACGCTGTGCTGAATGCTTTATGGCATTATTTAATTCTCACGGTAATCTTAAAGGCAGTTATTCTTTTCCTTATAGCTGAAACGGTCGGAGCCCCTGGTTACACTGCTAGAGAAGGTAAAGCTGTTTAAGTAGCCAGAGGCCACGTTGGTCCTTTTATTGGCAGCAGACTTCACTTGATGATTTGTTACCTTTTTGAATCTCAGGGGTGCTACCGTGACTGCCACAGACTCCAGTCTTCGCCCTGTCGGGTGCCACTGCCCATCTAGAGTATGCCCGTCCTGGAAATACGGAAGCCGCCGACTATTTTACCTTTGTTTTGCAGATGAGGACATTGAGACACAGATTATTTGAACTAGATAATATCTGAATGGTAGAATGAGGATACAAAGTTGGGCAGTTTGACCTCAGATTCTATACTTGTAACTACTACACTGTGCTGGTCCTGAAATAAGGTACATCGCTGGAAGCTGTGATTTTAGAGCGCTTAATGTCTTTTGTGTTTCTTTTGTGTTTTAGATTTCTTAATTTTTATTTTATGTGTGTGTTTGCTTGTTTGCATGTATCTGTGTGCACCATACGCATGTCTAGTGCCCATGAAGGGTGGGCAAGGTCATTATAGCCCTGTGACTGGAGTTATTTATGGACAGTTGTAAGAAACCACTTGGGTGCTGGGCACCAAACCCAGGTCTTGCTCAGTAGCAGGGACTACTCTTAGCTGTGGCTTTTCAGTGTTTGTGCAGACACACAGAAGTGTGTTATGTTGGCTGCCATTTCGTGTCCTGTGGCAGTGCTTTATGTAAACAACTCCCTGGTGCTCGTGGCAGGTTCTACATTTCCACTGTAGTGTGGCGTTCTGATGTCACAGTCTTTTGTCTTTCCGTGTCAGCTCTGGTTATGTTATTATATCATAAAGGCGCTTTACCATCTTCAGAGCGCCTTCACAAAGTGAGCCCTCTCCTTCTCTCTGCACTGTCAGTCATAAGGCTTTTAGTCTGCATGTGATGCCAAAACTCAAACAGAGAGACCTTCAGGCTCTGGGCACACTGCTTGTGGGCTGTCAGTGATCTTTGCCCTACGTTATGCCATAGTTTACAATAAAGCAGCTTATTTTTTCAAGTGGTACTCTTAACCTAGAAACTAATGACAGTTAAACTATGAACATGACTAGCCACAAACCTTCATCAGCATGTCCTACAGTTTTGTGTTCCAACGTCAGCTGTAAGCCTGACACGGAATGGAGTATTCATAAATGCTTAAATTAAATAAACAAACAAACAAACAAACAAACAAATAAATAAAATAGTGTGCCTCAACTCCACTGTCATAAAGAGCTACCTAAAATATTTTACCTTGGGATAGGTAGTTTCTTTTTCTTTCTTTTGTTTTCTTTTAGTTTCCTTTCTTTTCTTTTTTATCAGCTCTTATCAGAAGCCAAAGCTTTCACAGTTGTTTCATTGAAATACATAACTGGTTTTACAATCTATTAAGAGTCTGTCCTTAAAAAAAACAAAACAAAACAAAACAACAACAACAACGCTTTCAGTCACTGAGACAAGAGCCACAGCCCGGTGCTGGCCACGAACTGCTTCCACGTTTGGTTAATAAAGATGCCAGCTTGAAAGGCCAAAATAAAAAAAAAAAAAAATTTAAAAAAGAGTCTGTCCTTTCCCATCCTAAACCATCATCTCCAACTCACTACCTCTCCGTTACATAGAATGGAAAAGGCATGGATTTGGATTGAAGTTTGAAGCTTTACTCTGTATCTTATTAGATCTTTGGCACTGAGTAAATTACTTAATTCCTCCAAACGTGTTTCCTCATGTTGTAAATTAGGACGAGCTCCTCTTTCATAGCAAGCACAGGCTCCTCTGCCTCTCCGTGGTGTGGCTACATTTTGGCTCTTGGTTTTTCTGCCAGTGTATCATCAGGTCAGTTTCACATTAGAAGATAAGTGCTGAAAAAGAACTTTCAAAGAGAAGTTGTATCAAACATATAAAAACAACACTTCTTTATAGTTAATGGTAATGTTACAATAGCCACAGACACATTAGCTGCTATGTTAAGTTGCCAGGCTGCTTCATTTTATTATGTCTGTACAAGTTCCCTATGCTCACCCATGGTACATTATTTGTACCATGAACATTCACTCAGGGAAAAACAGGAAGGAATGATTTAGGAACAGAATGAAATTATAATTCTTTTAGCAAGCTACAGGTTTTGATTCACTGTTTGATTACGTTATCTATGAACCAGGAAGGCTTAGTGCGTTTCTAGGGAAAGAAAGTATATTCAACTTTTCCTGAACATTTTATTTGGAAAAAGTTAACATAGAGAAAAAAAAAATTGTGATAAACACCCAAATGCCTGTCACCTGGAGTCTGCCAAGCTGGCAGTGGTGGGGCATGCCTTTAAACCCAGCTCTTGGGAGGCAGAGGCAGGTAGATCTCTGAGAGTTTGAGGCCGAGTGCTCTACAAAGTGAGTTCCAGGACAGCCAGGGCTACACAGAGAAACCCTTTCTCAAAACAATCAAACAACAAGCCAAAAAGCAATTCTGCACTTGTATTGCATATTTAATCCATCTGTCCTTTCTTATATGTACCCATCTTTCACGTCATAATCTCAAAGCGTTTATGTTTGAAGAGATTTCGGATAAATATTCTGTGTTTGGTTTTGGTCAGTTTTTATTTTTATTTTTTATATAATAACAGGTAATTTTTTAGGAATGGACTATAACTAGTCTACAATATTCTGGTAAGTTCTGAATTTCAGATGTAAATAAGACTTTTCTCTATTTCTAGCTCTAAAAGATGAGTCGTGGATATCAAGAAAACAATAATTTTCTGAATAATAATAACCAAATGGTATTGGATATGATCCTTTATCCATTGATTGGAATCCCCCAGACCATCAACTGGGAAACTGTGGCAAGGCTTGTGCCTGGATTAACACCTAAAGAGGTAAGTAACAATGCCGCAGATATCTCACCAACACTTTAACTCAGGATCTCCCCCCCATGTGGGATTTAAACATCTGGTGAAATAACATGCAGGGTTTTTTTCTATATTTATTTTATGTGTATATGAATGCTTTTGTCTTCATGTGTTTCTGTGCACCTCATTCATGCAGTGCTTAAGGAGACCAGAAGAGGGCATCACATCCTCTGGAAGGCAGAGGCAAACTATGAGTTTGAGGCAGTCAATAGAGCAAGTTCCAGGACAGCCAGGGCTACACAGAGAAACCCTGTTTCAATAAATAAATAATAGTATTTTTTTAAATACCCATCACTCAGGAAAAAAAAGACAAAAGTAGAGAAGGAACTTCATGGAGGAAAAAATGAATTAGTGCTAAGAGAAGGCAAATAATGTAAGAACACAGGCTGGCTTCAAACTCAGGTCTACCTACCTCTGCCTCCCAAGTGCTGGGATTAAAGGCATGTACTGTCATCATCCTGCTGGGATGAACATTTAAAGTATTTCTTGGTATAAGTTAAATTATAAGGAGAAAAGCAATGGGCTCCGAAATACTGATAAGCCTACTCATCTTGATAACATTGTTGACTTTATTAATTTTCTTTTTATTTTAATTATTATTTATACAGTATTCTGCCTGCATATACACCTACACACCAGAAGAGGGCACCAGATCTCATTGTAGGTGGTTGTGAGCCACCATGTGGTTGCTGGGAATTGAACTCAGGACCTCTTTAAGAGCAGCCAGTGTTCTAAAACCTGAGCCATCTCTCCAGCACTGACTATTAATTTTATACTCAGAATCAAACTTAAGTTTAAGAATTTTATAGGGAAAGCATAGAGCTTTGTGATTGGTGCCTGAACACTAGTTTGAGAATCACAGACCTTAACTTTTCTTTTGTGTTTGTGTGTGTGTATGCGATTTATATGAAATTTTACAACATAACTCATGCTGCATTATCTTCTGCCTTAACCTCTAAAATGTTGGGATTATAAGAGTGTGCCACTATATCTGGAACTCACTGTGTAGCCCAGGCTGGCCTAGAACTCTGAAGGTCACCCGGCTTCAGCCTCTAGAGAACTGTGCTTTGTAGTTTTTGGTGGTTTTTTGTTGTTGTTGTTGTTTTGTTTTTTGTTTTTGATGAGCACAGGAAGTACCATTCTGGCATTTTGTACAAAGTAGATTTGTTTGTTTGGGTTTCTGTTTTGTTTGTTTTAACCTCCATTTTTGCCATTTTATTTCATTGCAGTGTGTGAAAAGGTTTGATGAACTGAAGAGCAACGGCAGCTCTCCTGTTGACAATCAGTATAACCCTTTAATGGCTGCTGGAGAGGGTCCTGTTGAGACGTTAGCCACCTACATTAAATCTTCACTTCTGGACACTCAAGGAGATATTCAAGAGACACCAGTTGATCAAGACACAGTTTCCAAAGCAGGTGAGGTGGTAAAATGAAATGCACTTCTTGTCCTTGTGAAAAAAACTACATTTTGTACGTCTAGTCGTCCTTCCTTTATTTGTTTAAAGGCTAATTCAAACACTTGTGTAAAACTCTGCTAGTGTTTTCATCTTTGTCAGTGTTAAAAATTCTCCTTGTCTTTGTTGTTTCTCAAAAATCTTAACTGTGAATATATAGGCTAAGTAATATTTTCATAACAGAATGTTAACTTTATCTACTCCTGTTTGTCAACCCAGTTTTTCACATATTGTTTACTTATAATAATATAAATATAATATTGTGATTGGTGTTTACTTATAATAATATATATAATATATAATATACTATTATATTATATGTAATAACAATGTAAACATATTGTTTATAATTTTTTGTGTGTTTTGGATAAAGGGTGTCGTGTAGCCCAGACTGGACGTGAATTCACTATGTAGTTGAGAATGAGCTGCTCCCATCTCCCCTGTGCTTGCCAAACCACACCCAGCTTATGCAGTGCTGGGGCATGCTGACATACTTGACAAGCCTTCTACCAACAGGACTGTATTCCTAGTCTTCATTCATGTGTTTTAAATGGACTTGGCAGACATTTTTGTAGCAAATTTCTATGTAACTTTTCTCTCTTGTTCTTAGAGCCTATGTGTATTACACTTAAAGTGTAAGAGATTTTTCTTCTTCCACAACTAAAAGTCAAGTTGTGAGTCGAGCTGTATTTACTTTTTAGGTGTTTGGGGGTTTTTTTGTTTTGTTTTGTTTTGTTTTATGCAGCCGGCTGGCCTCAAACTTGTTATGTAGCTGAGGATGACCTTGACCCCCTGATCTTCTTTAGTGCTAGGATAAAGGCATGCACCACCATGCTTGGCCACTTTTAATTTTTATTTTATTTATTTGTCTGTCTATTTGTTTTGAGATAGGATCTCTCTTATGTAGCTGTAGCTGTCCTGGAACTTAGTGTGTAAACCAAACTGGTCTAGAAGTCACAGAGATCCACCTACCACTGCCTCTCCAACGGCTGGGATTTTAAAAAGGAAACATTTAGAGAAATCTTGCTCATCTCTTACATCATCATTTTTTTTTTTTTTTTTTTTTTTTTTTTTACGGTTAGTCTTTACTGCAGTTAACAGATATACACGTGACACAGTGACAAGGTTGAAGAGCTGTTTTCTAGATGGCTCAGAGGTTAAGAGTGCTGGTTGCTCTTGCAGAGGTCCTGAGCTCAATTCCCAGCACCCACATGAAGACTCAAAATTTTGTCTATAATGAGATTGGTACCCTCTTCGGGCATGTATGTAGAATACTGTATATACAATAAACAAACAAATAAACAATTTTTAAAAAGAAAGCACAGGCTCTAGAGGCCTGAGAATGAGTTACATTCATTTCAGCAGCAGTCAACATATTGAAATAGAAATTCACTTCAGGAAGAAGAGACTGTGCTGAGCTTTTGCATCCTTGACTTAGTCTGGAATACTAATTACGATCTTTTGAAAATGTTCACTATAACATTAGCAGTTACAGCTCATTTTCTACTGTTACTTTATATGCTTTACAATATTAATATTAAAGAGAGAAATGCCACCTGACAAATACCAGCTTCACTGCCTTGGAAACCATGTGTTTACCGTGTTGCCATTCCATAAGTAAACCCGTTCTCAGCTGGAAATGCTAACTACCCCTTCTTTTTTATATGTCTGTTTTTGTATTGAAGGAAGACATAGTATAACTTCCACAAGGAATTGCTCTTCGGAAAGTGAAAATTGTACTGCTCATAATGCTGGAAAAGAGACTGGAGAATCTGAAGGGTAGGAGGCTGGTTGTTTGCTAGATGAGATTTAATACTGACATTACCTGACTGTGAAAGCACGTGGTTGGTCGTTATGTACGTCAGTTACCATTCGTTAAGGGTTTAAATTACATAGTTGTGTAAACTTTGGGTTCAGATTCGTCTGTACATAAACAACAAAAATAACTTAGTACCTAACATATTACTCGCTTGTGTTGTTTGTAAGTTTTGGAGGATTTTTTTCCATTCTTAAAAATTAATTGGCATATTCTTAAAAATTAGAAATAATATCTGTTAACATTTTAAAGTAAATTTCAATGCTCAAAGAAAAATATCTAAGTAAGTAGTTCTTGAACTTTATTAATAAGATTAGATGTGTATTTTAGAACTTTTTTAATATAATTGCTATATAAATATTTAAAAATCAGAATGTATTTCAGTATGCTTCAAGTTGATACTTTGTATTATTCTGTATATTTCTTATACAGTAAATTGCATAATAAATGTTTACTTGTTTTGACAAATAGTATACCATATAACTATCACCTAATGAGTATACAAAATTTTTTTGACATCTCTAAAATTTCATTCCTGCACATCTAGTTTTGGTAGCTAACAGCTTTATTAATATAGTTCGCCTACCGCAAAATTCATGTACCTCCCTCCCTTTCTTCCTGGTGTGGAGGACTAACTGGCACTGCGCATGCTGGGGAAGCACTCAGCCTCGGAGCTGCTCTCTGCAGCCGCTGTCAGTTCACTGTGGGTCAGAGTCCAGTCCGCATTCCCAGGCTGGCCCTGAGCTTGTGCTTTCCCTCTCCACAAGCAAGAGTGTGCCATGGTGAATGTACCGCAGAAGCGACTGTGGTGACCAAAGGGTAATTGGTAGGAATCCGTTTCAGGCGTGGCAACAAGCCCTTTTTCCGCTGAGCCATCTTGACGGCCCTCTTTTGATTTTGGTAGAGCATTGATTAGAATACTTTTTCTCATATTTTAACTTTATACAAAATACTTACTTTATATTTAAAATTTGTAAAATTGAATTAAGCACAAAGCAATTCACATTTGTAGTACATTATTTCTTCCCTTTATGTAATGGCATGAAGTGCATTACACTGTTCTGGGGTTTTGTTTCTATGTATTCTATTTGTTTGTGTGAAGGTGCATGTGAACACCAGAAGACAGCCTTGGGTGTCATCCCTTTTTGTTTTTGTTTTTGTTTTTGTTTTTGTTTTTTGAGATGGCTTCTGTGTCCTTGGCTAGGCTGGATGTGGCCAAGTCCTAATCCTCCCAGCTCTGCAGTTACAAGGCATGTCAGCATATTGTGTTTTCTACGGTGGGTTCTGGGAATTCAGCTCCATGGACTGAGCTGTACCCCTACCCCTACTTTTCCATTTTAGTTGACTTTTGCATTTTTGACACAGGATCTCACTGTGTAGCCCAGGATGGCCTGGTACTCACTGTATAGTACAGACTGGCCTTCGGCTCATGGCATTACTACCACTCCAGGTTCCTGGGCCCTAGGATTACAGGATACAGGAACTGCCATACCTAGCGAAATGCATCACTTTCAAAGAAGGTAAATTCAAGGAGTGTGTAATTTTTGGAGCAAACTTTTCAGATGCATTTTTTAAACCTACTAAATTATTTTAAGTATGTAAATAAGCACATAGTCTTAAGAATTCTTGTAACTGTACTCATCAATATATATTTCATAAATGTCTGGGCCCAAATTGTGTTGATGCTAAAAATAGATGAGTAAGTGATGCTGGTTTTTATTTTGATTCTTCAAGGAACCATTTTAGATATTTTTTTTTTCCTTTTTCAAAGGTGTAAAGATGTTAGTCATCGCACAAGAATTAAAGTCTATTATTGTTCTTTGGGAGTTGAAACTTGAACAATAAAATTGAAGCTGTGTAAAGTATTATTCCTTTAAAACAATATTTATAAATTTTTATTAAGTGGTTAGCTTATTAAAATTAATCATAATCTGAGGTATAATCAGATAGACAAGAAACGAGAAATTCTGAGTGTAAAACATATTTTTGTGGTCCAACTCTTCAGAACCAATTGTTCTCTGACATCCACTAAATGTCAGTGTTCTTCCCTCCCCTCCCATTCTAACCATCTCCTTTCTGTGCAACATTCTCTTATGAAGGCCAAACATGGTGATCCATGTATGTGATGAAGCAAAAAACTTAAAAGAAGATTTTATTTGCCCACGAGATCTTTTGATATCAGAAATGAAGTACTTTGCAGAATATTTATCTATGGATGCCCAGCGCTGGGAGGAGGTGGACATCTCAGTTCACTGTGATGTTCACATTTTCAACTGGCTGATACAGTATGTTAAAAGGAACACTAAGGAGAATGGAGACTGTGAGATTCCCACCTTAGGTAAAAATAATCTGCTGCTCATATTGTGCTGAAATTTGTGTGTCATCCAGTAGCTGGTGCAGGTCTAAACTGAGATGTAGAAGCTTATTTGAATGTTGGTATTTATGCTCATATTACAGAAACTAATGTTTCATATATTCTAGAAAGGGTCCAAGAGACTCTTTAAAAAGTCTGCAATGTTAACAAACCTGTGAAAAGGCAAGGCAATGGTGTGCAAGACTGTTGAGCTTCATAGCCCAAATCAGAGCAGGAACAGCAAACTGTATCATTGTTTTCTCCAACACCATGCACTCATAGTTAAAAAAGGAGAAGGAAAATTGAAGGTTCACTTACTGATGAAGTGGTAAAAATGACTATTAAATCTCAACCCTCAGGTATACATTCCTTTTGGACTTTTCTATGGTCCTCAGCACTTCTGACGAATACCAGTGATAGTGTCTTGAGGGGAAGCATTTGTACATTTATGAGCTAAGCCTGCTGGCTTTTAAACATAAAAAAACAATGTTTACTTGGGAAAGCATAATTATTCAGACAAATGCTTGACACATTTTTAAAAACTATGAGCTAGTCATGTAAAGGAAAATAGTTGATAGTATATGTTATTAGTGATTTAAAAAAAATAGATCTCAAGTGAGAATTAGAGTTTTGGAAAATTTGCCTGTTCCAGTGTGACTGACAGTTTCTCCATACACAAAATCTTTTCTGTTAAAATACTATCGGTCTTATTTACAAATTTGACTCCATACAATAAAGGGTCTGAATAGAGAACATGCATAACTCAGTGGACCAGCCTTTTCCAAATGCGAATTGTGCAATGTCTAAAAAAGAAATTCTCCAGTGGGCTAATGATGCACTCAGAGTGAAAGATGAGTCATTGAACAGAATAGACGTTTATTGATGCCATTGCAGATTCTGTTCCATTCAACCTTCAGGAACATACTGCTTGTCAAGTTTTAGCTTAACAACCAAAAGCAGTCTATGCACCAACTGAATGCAGAACAAGCTGACAGGAAGCCAGGCGTGATAGTTCAGGCTTATAATTCCAGCACTTGGGATGCTGAGACAAGAGTATTGCCATGAATTCAAGACCAGCCTGGGCTACAGAGTGAGAAACAGATTATGAGAATTCTGCAGTCAGTTAAACATTGAAGAGATTTTCAGAAACTGTCAGTAAGTGATACTATCTTTTTTTTTTTCATTTTGAAGCTGTTTTTCACAAAAATATGTTTATAGGTAATAGGATTATTGTATTTTAAAACTGACTTAAAAATTTCTCTGCTTACATAATTTCCAATGTGGTAAATACTGGCAAATACGACCACATGAACAAGAGCTGTTTAAGAGTCTCAGTTTTTAAGATTGGAAAGGAGTCCTGAGACTAAAATTTGAGAACCAGTGTTCTTAATGATAAGGAGCATGTTAATGTTAAGGAGCATGCATGTATGAAAATGCCATAGCGAAACCCATTATCTTACCAGGTAAGATTGTAATTGAGAAAGGAATAACTGATAAGTATCTTTCAGTAGGCTTAGACTTATGTAACAAATAATAAAATCTTTGTACTAGAATAGCAATATCAGAAAATTTTCAAACACATAATCGAGGTTGGGAGTATGACTCAGTGGAAGAATGCTCACCTAGCGTGTATGAGGGTGTGGGTTCAGTTCTCAGCACTGCAAACAACAAAGCTACTACACTATGCTTACAGATTAAAAAGATTTACAAAGTTTAAAATTTATGATACTATACTGACCAAACTAATGGGAAAGATTTCTAAATAAAAATGTTTTAAATGAAAATTCAAATTCTAAGATTGTTAAGTCAAATTTTTAGCCCTTCTAGAGAGAGGACTCCATGATGAAGAGCAATTGTTGGCTCCTCCAGGGAGCACAGGTTGGAATCCCAGTGTAGCGCCTCATCACCATCTGTAGCTCCAGTTTGATAAGATACTGCGTTCTTTTTTTAAATTTAATTTTACTTATATGTTTATTTATTATAATTTATTCACTTTGTATCCCCAATGCAGCCCCCTCCCTCCTCTCCTCCCTTGTCTCTTCCCAGTCCCAGCCACCCTCCCCCTTCTTCCCCTACGCCCTTTCCCTAGTCCACTGACAGGGGAGGTCCTCCTCCCCTTCCACCTGACCCTAGCCTATCAGGTCTCACCAAGACTGGCTGCATTGTCTTCCTCTGTGGCCTGGCAAGGCTGCTCCCCCTGTCACAGGGAGGTGATCCGAGAGCCAGCCCCTGAGTTCATGGCAGAGACAGTCTCTGTGCCCCAAGACTGTGTTCTTTTATGTCCTCCTCAGGTACTGCGCGCACATGGTGCAGACACATGTGCAGGCAAAACGCCCATAGAGTGAGTGAATGTCTTTTAAAAAACTGAAGCCAAAGACCAGATTTCGGGTTATCTTGTTATGAACATATGTATACATATATATATTTATAGGTGTGTGTATATATGTATACAACGCTTTTGTGGTGAGTCGTAGCCTATTGTAAGAAAATTGAGACATTAATATAGATATATGTGTGTGTGTATACATATATATGGAAATTGTTTACTGTAGCATATCCATGTGCATAAGACTGAAAGAAAGAAAAGAGAAACTGCTTATCTTTGGATTAAGTCTCTGCTATAAAGTTTTTTTCAGATCCAGTCTTTATCCTAACCAAAAAAAGTATAAGGATGCTTAATTAATCCTCCTATAATTAAGCTACTAGCTCTTAATTAGATGGTGTATCCTCAGGTACAGTTTTCCAATAAGCTTTTCCACCAGCTTGAGAACCTTTAACTAGAGTTGATATTTAGAAAAGGTTGGAGTTACTTACTCATTGTTCTACTACAAAGGGTTTTAAATGATTAGCAGTGCCAGAGTGGGGGGTGGGGGGGAATGGCTGGGTTTTTCTTGTTAAGGATATTTCATAGAGTTGATAGATTTATCCCCGTCCCCTGTCTGTGTGCCCGGAGACCCACTTCGTGTGGCAGTAATGTAGTAATGTGTACTTTCAGCATTTTGTCAGTCAGTTTTTACTACATTTCAGAGTCTTAAATTTAAATATGTAATTGCCAGCACTGGGTGCCTTTTTACAATAACTTCCTTAGTTAATGCTCTCATTAATCGTTGTTTACTCTCCATTGTGACGTCTGCATGTTACTGTTTTTAGCTAGACTCTGTCCTTTAACATAATCTAATTCAAGGGCAGTTGGTTATGTCTCTCCCCTGTGATTAACACTACATCTTCTTTTGTGTATACAAGCTAAATGATGTAAGATGAAAAGAAAAGATTGACTTAAAAGTCAAAAGAAAATTTCACGGTTTTTTTCTTTCTTATTAGAGCCAGGAAATGTCATTTCAATCCTTATTTCTTCAGAATTCTTGAAGATGGATTCATTAGTAAGTATTCATTTAAAAATCTAGCCTCATCCAGTCGTGGCGATGCACACCTATAATCCCAGCACTTAGGAGGCAGAGGCAGGCTGGTTTCTGCGAGTTCAAGGCCAGCCTGGTCTACAGAGTGAGTCCAGGACAGCCAAAGCTCTACAGAGAAACCCTATCTCAAAAAACCATAAATAAATGAATGAATAGATAGATAGATAGATAGATAGATAGATAGATAGATAGATAGATTTCTTTATTGACCTAATGCTTTTTCTCTTCTGAATGTATAGAAAGCAAAATAGTTGTTAGTTTAAGAGTATAATTTGTAACAATACATTCTTCTCTTGAGAAGGGGTTAAGACTACTGGGTATCACTTGTATATTAGGTCTGTAATTGGAAGAACCATTGTATAATTTGAATGGCTGGTCAAATAGAAAACTATTATATATATATACATACACACACACACACAATTGTTTCAAGCTGTAATAGTAAATGTTTATTTTTCTTATTTATTTATTAAATAAATATCTGGGCAAGCCTAGGATACATAGACAATCTCACAAAACAAAAAACAAAAAAATCTATAATTCAAATGGTTTCATATCTTTTCATGTTGACATTTTATAGTGATTATTTAAATAAATATTTGGGGATTGCTCCTGATAAAAACATAGAGAGCAGACTACTGCTTTGCTGTGTTGGCAGATGAGCTTATTGTTTGGAGTTTACTATACTGTGTTCCTTGTACTCCTCAGCCAAGTGGTTTTACTGACTTCAAGCAAGGACTACAGAAAAACATCAGAGACCTTAAGCTTAAGTTGGAAACTTAAACCCTAAAGATTACATTAAGACCATTAGCACAGTATTTGGAAAAAATCAAGGTGACCCTTTCTTTACTATTACTCTTTATAAATCCCCCTCAGGTTAGAAAGAGAAGGAAGTGTGAGAGCAGATAAAACGGGACTGAGAAAAAAAGTGGCTGAAATATTGTTGCTCTTATCTAGAAGAATGAAATTTATGAGAAATCATTTGAATATGTACTTTAGTATATAGATTAAAATTTATACCCGCTACAGCCATTTAAAGTTCATTATTGTTTTAAATAAAAGGAATTGGAGATAATTTGGTTATATGTGTTTGTAATTTTTACCTATTTAACAGTGTAGTTCAACACAATTGGCAAAACCCAGTTATTGGCTGTGTATATGTCAAACTTTTCATGAATTTTGGCTTGAAAGGTATTACTCTGACAATATCATTTGCATTACTATCTTAAATATTAATTTTCTGTTCTGTGTTTTCAGGTTGAACAGTGTATTCAGTATTGCCACAAAAATATGAACGCCATAGTAGCTGCTCCATGCAACATGAACTGTATCAATGCGAACCTTCTCACACGCATAGCTGATCTGTTCACACACAATGAAATTGACGACTTAAAAGACAAAAAAGATAAGTTTAGGAGGTAATTCTTTAAACTTTTATTTTAAACCTAAGAGATTTTGTTAAATATATTTCTTTTTAATTTTAGTGAGATTTCCATTTTAAAATCTACATAAAATATATTCCTATTTTACTTTTAAATAAAAAGCCAGTAGCATATGATAAGTCTTAATGATTGAAAATTTTTCATTACATTTGACTTTAGTGTGTGTCTGTGGTGTGTGTGGTGTATGCATGCATGCATGTGTGTGTGTAGTTGTGTGTACACATGTGCACACACCAAAGCACATGTCAAGGTCAGGGGACCTCTTACCAGAAGCAGTTTTCTCCTTCCATAGTATGGATTCTGAGGTCAAAATCAAGCAATCAGGGTTGGTGGCACATACGCTTATCTGCTAAGCCATCTCGCTAGCTCCCTTGGGTAAGGAGCGTCTGGTGGTGATGAGCTGTGTTAAGATTAAGGCTTCATTGTAGGAGCAAAGTGGTTTGATAGGAGACCAGCAGTGCTCATATTTCGCAAGGGCCCTTGAGGTCAGAGCAAGAGATTATACCTTATTCTAGGATTGGATTGCAGCAGAGTTTTTTTAGGTTGTGTTTTTAAGAGATTGGGGTTGCTGTGTGGAGAACATGAAGGCATAAGAAGCAAAGAGATGTGTTGAGGCTGCGGTAGCTCATTGGAAACTAGTGGGTTTGCATTGGGTGCGTGCGGTGAAGCTGTGGCTGAGTGCAGTGGTGTGACCTACAAGATTGGACACATGTGAAGGGGGTGAGGTGGGAAAAGAGAAGACACGGGATAATTGCTAAGTTTTCAACCTCAACACTAAATGGATGGATGTCCCATTAATGCAGAAAGGAAAGATTGGGAGGAGGAGGAGGATACAGTGAGGTAAACCAGAGAATTAGTGCACTTCTCGAATATGTGGGTGGAATGGCAGGTGACCAATCGGGAATGTTCACCTAGAATTGAGGTCAGAGGTCAGGGTTATTAACATAGAGATTTGACAGTAGGTGAGATCTGAAATAGAGCCTGGATGGGGTTTCCAGCAGAAGACTGCTGCATGACCTGTGGCCCTTCAGTCTGTTAAAAATAACGATACCAAAACCTTTTAATATTTCAAAACTTAGGTCTCAGCTGGACAGACTCTCAATTAGCTCATATAAGTTAATCCCACCGCTTAGCCCCATCCAGTCATATTTCCGGGCCCATCGTCATGTCCATCCCTTCTCCTGTCTCCTAGAGAAAGGGCCCTTCCTTTTCCTTCTTCCAAGAGTTCCTTTCTCCCTCCCAGGAAGTCCTGCCTTCCCTTCTCTCTCTGCCCAACTATAGGTTGTCAGCAACTTTTATTTTCCAATCAGGGACAAGTTCGGAGGCAAGGGTCACACAGCACCATCCTGAATACATGAGAATCTGTCCATAGGATACCAAGGATGCTGGGGCCAGCAGCCAACACTTGAACACACAGTAGCTCTAGCTCAACACTAGCAGAAGTCCAGTTAGTGCTTTTGGTGTCATGTTCAAGCAATCCATGCCTACCTAAGGAAAGGCAGGCATCTGAGTTGTCTATTCTTCACTCTGAATTAATTGTTTTGTATAGTATCAAGTGGGAAGTCAAGGTTCATTTTTTCACATACATTTGTAGTTGATGAAGCATCATATATTTAAAAGACCTTTACTGAACAAGTAGTGGTACATGCCTGTTATCCCAGTATTCAGGGGGCTGAAGCAATGGAGTTATCCTGAGTTTTAGGCTTGCCTAAGCTACATAGTAAATCTAGGCCATCCTGGACTACATAGTTAGACCCTGTCACAAAGCCAGAAACAAAAAATGAGCAGAATGATCAGTGAAGAAAAAAAAGAAAGGCCATCCTTTCCCCCAGCAAACTGCAGTGTCACCACACCATGAAATCACATCAGGTGACTGGATGAGATCCGTCTGTGTCCATTTCATTCATGACAGAACGTTGACTCATCTTCCGTCAGTAGCACTGACTCTAAGACTTTATTATATTTAATTGTGTGTCTTCCTCTGCATGCAGGAATGCACATGAGTACATGTGCTTGTGAAAACCAGGGGTATCGGATCCTCCTAGAGCTGCTGACACAGGTTGTTGTAAGCTGCCCACCATGTGTGCTAGGAACCAAACTCAGGTTCTTTGTAAGAACGGTGTGCACTCGTAACTGCTGAGCCACCTCCAGCTCAGGGAGCACTCAATCTAAAGTAAGGCAGTATGGTAATAACTTTTGTATTTAGTAACCTAAACTCTCCAGCTTTGCCATCAAGGTTGCCACCAGGTCATTTTGGGTTCCTCGAATTGCCCCACAGATTTTATAATTGGCTTTTCCATTTTTGTTTTTGTTTTTCACACATATCAAACCACTTGGAACTGGAAGTTAATCCTGAACCTGTAGATCAATTTGGGGTGGTTTTAGGATCTTTTTTAAAAAGTGTGTGTGTGTGTCTGTGTGTGATGAACGCATCCACTTGTGCCAATGCCTACAAGATGGCATCCGACCACCTGAGGTCACAGGAGTTTGTGCGCCACCCAGTGAGGACAGTGGGTCTGACTGCAGGCCTGCGCAGGAGCAGCATGCACCATCTCTCCATCCGTGAGTTTAGAGTCCTGAGAATACCAGATCTCCTGGTTAGCGAGCACAGTATGACTTCCCACATATTTAATCCGAGGCATTTAATTTCTCATTGCTGTTATACATACTATTCTAATTTTTTTCCTTTAGTAGGAGAATATTAACAAAGGCTACCCAATACTTAAAGGTTTGAAGAGAAGTAGCAGTCAGGGAGTAGCAGGCCAGTAGAGTAAAAAAGAAGGTAAATTCAAAGGAAATTTTGAAAGGGGTAAGTGAATGACCACTGCTCCAGCATAGATGAAGACAGAAATGAGGTTCCCTTAATGTAGAAAGTTTTCCAGATATTTGTTCTGAATGATTGCTTAGAAAAAGAAAAAGAGTAGCAGTTTGTTAGTGGGCTTAAGAGATGATTTCTTTTAAGGTGACAATAATTTTTTTTTTAATGTGTTAACCAGCATGGTCCATTAAAAGAAAAATTGTTAATGAAGAGGATTATCCAAGAATTCAGCCCTTAAGAGGAATGAAATTACCTAAGAACATATCTGAAAATGGGAATGGAATCCAAATTCATATGTGGCCTTTAAAACCAACCAGTATTTTATTAAGGAAAATGGTGGTAGGAAGGACATACATGGGAAACTTCAAGCTCAGTTATATTACACTTAATAAGTACTTACCATTTTATTTCTTAACACTGTACCTGGCATTATTTGAAAACATATAATTCAGTCCTCATAAACTTTATGAGCTTGTAATTATTAGCCATATTTTATTATATTTTTATTTGATTTTTGTCTGATTTACCATTAGAGTGGCTAGGGGCACCTGGCACTATATACTGATGAAAGTCAGAGAATAAACTTTGGGAAGCAGTTATTTTCTTCTTTTGCTTTTATCTTCTCAGCCACCTGCTGGCCCCATTAGCCATGGTATAGATAAGAAAAGAAAGTTTCAAAACAGCAGGTCGCTAAAAATCTTGCCTCCTTAGGTCATTAAATCTCAAGATTTTAATCTTTACTATTCCACTGACAGAGGACTGAAGGAAAGGCAGGTGCCTATCTGCTTCTTTTCTGAAATATATTCTTGACGTGAATAGTAGCATACTCCTTTAGCTCTAGCACTCAAGAGTCAGGAAGCTCATTCCAAGTCTGGGGCGGCCCTCAACTACATAGTGAAACCCTGTTTTAAAAAAACAAAGCACAAAATGTGAGCAAAAATAGGTATCATGGTACATGAGCCAATAATAGCATTTGAGGCAGAGGAGGTAAGTGGAATAGGAGCTGAAGGTCAGCCTCAGGAACATAGTAAGTTTGTGGTTCAAGTTTGTGGCTTTGAAAAGCTGGCAAGATTGCTAAGTGGTTAAGTGCACTTACTGCCAAGACTAATGACATGAATTCAGTCCTCAGGACACACATGGTAGAAGGAAAGAACTGACTTCCAAAAACTGTTCCCTGATGTCCATACACCTGTCATGGCACACGCGCACACACTATAAATAAAAAAGAATCTTGATCAAGCAATATGTTTATTTACTTGGAATAGGAAAAATGTAAACACCCAAAGAGAACCTCCCTGGAGACCTTGTTCTAGACATATATGTATAAGGACAGTCCTTATTTTTGTCACTGTAAAATTACTTTAAGACTCGGAGATGCCCAATGCATGAAGTGCCTGCTGTGGAAGCATGAGAAACCCAGCACCCAAAGGAAAATCAGGCTTAGCAGCACGTGTCTGCAAACCCAGCACTGAAGGTGTAGACAGAAGGATCGCAAGGGCTCAGTCTGACCAAAATGACAACCTCCAGGTTCAGTGAGAGAGTCTGTCTCTAAAAATAAGGTAGAAGGGCCAGAGAGAGAGAGAGTTGGGTGTTTAAGAACACAAAGAACACTTTCTGCTTTTGCAGAGGACCTGCGTTCAGTTTCCTGCAGCAGTGGGCAGCAGCGCCAACTGCCTGGAGCTGCAGGTCCAGGAGCTGCTGGACCAAGCAGGTCCAGGGGCTTGAGTGCCCTCTGCCAGCACCTGCACCGCCATGCACATATCCGGTACAGACATACTCATGACAGAAAGCAAGAAGAGAGGGAGGAAGACAGACACTAACTTTAAGATGCTAAACATAGACATCTAATTTATTGGTTATTTGTTTTTAATAGTAAACTGTTTTGTAAGAAGATTGAAAGACTGTTTGATCCTGAATACTTCAATCCAGATTCTCGAAACAATGCTGCAACACTATATAGGTAACATGTTTTTCCCATTATGCTATATAGTATAGCTACAATATTTACTGCATTAAATTCTTTTCTTGAATGCTTTTGGCATTTCCTTTTTGTTATAGATGCTGTTTATGTAAGAAACTTTTAACCAGAGAAACAGAAAGAAGAATTCCTTGCATCCCTGGAAAAATCAATGTGGATCGACATGGAAATATTATCTACATCCACATAAGGTGCAGTGAAGATAAAATAGTTTTTGTCTGTAAGAGTACTTATAGAGACATAACTTAATTTTTATGGTTTATTGGACTAAGAAAAATGCTGCTTTCAAGACAAAGTTAGGGAAAAGCTAATGTTTTATAAATGTCCTAAAACCTGAAAAATTTACAAATTATTATATATTCGTCTTAAAAGACTTTGGTCAGTACCATTAAAGTGAGCTATCACTAAAATATTTTTGTTATCTATATATTACATTGAATTTTACAAAAGAACTACATTTACTTTTAGTTGTTTTTTTTATGCCTGAAAAATTGGAGTTACAGAGTTGGAATTTCTATAATCTATCATTTATTTGTCATACTTCATTAGCATGTAATACATATCATGCTTATTTTTAACACAAGATTTCATTCTGAGTTGGTGAAATGTCTCAGTAGAACAGAAACTTTCAAGATCCACGTGTTCTTTGGCAACATCCTATTGCTAGGAATTTTTACAGAGAGGTATTGTTGAGTCTGTGAAACTTTTGACAAGACCATTCATTGCTCTCTTAAGTATATGAACCAGCTTCCCTCCTTCTAAGAAATCCAAATGACAGAACAAGCCAAAATGCAGCCATATAGTAGTATAGCTATATAAAACAGCGCAAATCTATTCTTTTTAAAAATACATTTTAATTATCTGAATGGGGAGGCATGCCTGCATTTGAGTGTGGGTGCCCTCAGAGGCCAGAGGCATCAGACCCCCTGCTCTGGCATGCTACGTGATTGTTAGCATGAGTGCCAGGGATCAAGAACAGTTCAGCTCCTAACCTCTAAGCCGTAAGCCCAGCCTCTCAAGTCACTTCTAAGTTTATGTGTATTATCCTTAGTGTACCCTCCAGGATAATGTTTCAGGCTGGGTATGGAGATGTAGACCTGTAATCCCAAGACTCAGGAGGCAGCCAGGGGATGGAGAGTTTGGGTTAGCCTGAGCTATGTAACAGGTTTGAGACCAGCTTGAGCTACACGTTCAGAGTTTCAGAAAACGATAGCTCAGCAGGTAAGAGCACTGGCTGCTTTTCCAGAGAAGCAGGGTTCAATTGCTAGCACATGGCAACTCACAACTGCCTGTAACTCCACTTCTAGGGGATCTGACACCCTCACACAGACATATATGCAGGCAAAACACCAGTGCACATAAAAAATGAAAGTAATTTATTAAAAATATAAGATTTAATTAAAAAACAATACAAGACAGCACTAAATTTGATGTTAATATTAATAGCACAGTCAACTTTTTTTTTCCTCTCAATAAATAATTGGGGAATTTTCACTGCTTATAGGCACATAGAATCTTACATATTTTTTGACCTAAGACTTTATTTGCCTTTTGAAAATTCAGTTCGGCCAGCAATAATTATTGGTAGTGGTATGTGGAAAAGTTAATTGTCATTAACTTCAACATCCATTTTTGGTGTTTTACTTCTACAAGGTGACAGTTGACACATACATTTTAAAAACTGTGTCTAGGGGTTCACCAGTTAACAGAACTGACTACTCTTTCAGAGGACCCATGTTCAATTCCCTGGCACGTGCACTCATGTGCATTCCCCATCAGAGGAAGACACACAATTAAATATAATAAAGTCTTAGAGTCAGTGCTACTGACGGAAGAATGAGTCAACGTTCTGTCATGAATGAAATGGACACAGACGGATCTCATCCAGTCACCTGATGTGATTTCATGGTGTGGTGACACTGCAGTTTGCTGGGGGAAAGGACGGCCTTTCTTTTTTTTCTTCACTGATCATTCTGCTCATTTTTTTGTTTCTGGCTTTGTGACAGGGTCTAACTATGTAGTCCAGGATGGCCTAGATTTACTATGTAGCTGAGGCAAGCCTAAAACTCAGGATAACTCCATTGCTTCAGCCCCATGAATGCTGGGATTACAGGCATGTACCACTGGTTAAATATATGATGCTCCATCAACTACAAATGTATTTGAAAAAAATGAACCTTGACTTCACACTTCATATGATACAGAACAAATAATTGTCTTTAAATAATTTGTAAGAAAGATGTGCCTTTGTGATTTGTAGTAACATTTTTCAGATTGTTATTTGCTGAGCTAAGCACAAAAAAGCAAAAGTTTAAAAGTTTTAAATGGAGTGTTAGAAAGAAGCTGATATAAGTAGCTCACCCTATGACCCCAGCATTTTAGAGGCTTTGACAGCAAGGTGTTAAATTGTGAGGGCCCAGTGAGCTATGTAGCAAGTTCCAGGCCAGCCTGGGCTATCTAGTAAGACTCTCACTCAAACAAACAAACTAACACTGCAGTTACATATGTCCACAGTAAATATTATGTATGCCTTTGCTGGATGTTAAAATGTCTACAATGAAGACCTGGATTATAACACTATATTGCTCAAATACTGGAAAATGTTGTTTACAATAACATGCTAAGCCATCACATTATTGGAGTATTTAAGCACACTAATAACTAATAACAGCACACCTTACAACAAGCACAGTTAAAATAAAGGTCTCAGAACTCTGGAGATGGCTGATGGGCACAGGTGCCTGTCACCAAGCCTAGTGACCTCCATGTGAGGGAGCAAACTGACTTCCACAGATTGTCCTGTGACCTACACACACACACACACACACACACAGACACACACACACACACACACTGTGGCACATAACTCTCACATACATACACAGTACATTTTAAAAAGTGAAAGTGAATAAAGTAAAGGTCCTGTTTAACAAACATTGAATGATTCTTAACAACTGGCCTGCTCAAATTGTTTAATTAATAACATTTAATAATTTTCAACAAAATAAGTTTGTCTTCAGCCTTTTCATGCGTTCTTCTGCTGTCCTCAGAACAAATGTCCAAGTGAAATTGGCTCTACCTTTCAATGTAAACGTACCACACCTGTCATTTGCAGAGTACTCTTAGAAACAAGGCACCAGTGCCAGAACATTTGGTTCAAACAAATTGTGTCTCTCACTTACAATAACTGAGGCTTTCTCTGCAGAGATAAGACCTGGGACATACATGAGTATTTGAATAGCCTTTTTGAAGAGTTAAAATCTTGGAGAGACGTTTACTGGCGCTTGTGGGGAACCATCAACTGGCTGACCTGCTCCAAGTGTTGCCAGGTGAGGCTGAAGGAAAGGGGTGGCGAGAAGGGCGTGTCTACATGTGTTTGCATTCGCTTTCATTTCTTTCGCCATTTTCCCCTTTCTTTTTTCTGATGTTCATTGCTGAAACAATTCTTGTCAGACTTTGAGAGAAACAACAGATTCTTTGTTATCTAGTCCAGTTTTTCAATGTAAAAAAATATATTCTTTATTGCTCTTATATTTTCATCCAAACTATTTCTTCAGTAGGCCATAAATTTCCTTAGAAATTCTGAGTCACCTTTGGATCAAAAGTGTTACAAGTTTGGAGACAAGGTGTTAGCGCGTAGCCTCTGCTGGCCTTGAGCTTATGATCTTGTGTCAGGCTCCCTACTGTTGCTATCACAGGTGTGCTTCACCACACCTGGCTTCTTCTAAGTGGTAATTGCATTTCCCAAAGTATGTTCTCTCCCTGACTGGCCTCCAAAGTTGGACCTCAAGCCATACCACTGAGCTGTATTCCCATCCTTGTTCATGGTTTCAATAATTTGAATTTATAGCAAAAGCACAGATAGGTTAGTTCTTGAAGGTACTAAGAAGAAGGTTCTTGAACAACTTTTTGCAGAGTCACAGTCATTCCTAATTATCCTTAGGTAAATCCAAAGTTTTCTACGTAAATCAAAAGTTTTCTACATAAAATTCAAATGCATGCCTTTCCTTTAGGTTTTTCCTCTCAGTTGATTTTCAGTAGAGAGAGAGAAGAAGAGTTTATCAAAACCATCCGAGTTTGGTATGCCAGACTGTAGGCAAGTCCTCCTTCATGGGCTCCCTGTGTTCAGTAAACACTGGGTTGATTGAAGTATGTCTTATAGAGAGTACCATTCATCCATTTTGTTGACACATGCCATGTAGTACATGATGTTGCCGCCATCAGGGCATAGAACATTTCTGCTAGTGTTACCCCGTGCTCTTTTTTTTTTTTTTTTTTTTTAACAGGGCTTTTCCGTGTAGCACTGCATGTCCTGGACTTTCTTTGTAGACCAGGCTGGCATAAAGGTCTGCCTGCCTCTGCCTCCTGGGTATCTGAATTTAAGGCGTGCACCTCTACTGCCCCAGCCTGTGCTCTTCTTTAAATCTCCCCTTCTTAATGTTAAACCTGGCTGCCTATAGTTTCTTCTCTTCCAGAAAGTCATATAGATAGAGTCATACAGTATTTAACTACTTGAATGGAGATTCTTTGATTTAATAGGATGAATTTGAAATTTAAACATCTTGTTACATGTATCAATTTGTTTCCTTATATTGCTTAAGTAACCCTCTATCATATGAATTACCCAGTATGTTAAGCCATTCCCCAGCTGACAGACATTGATGGTGATTTTAGTTTGGAGTCATGTGAAGACACTGCTATAAGTATTTCTATACTTTATATAAACATATATACTTTATATAAACATAGGCTTTTAGATCTCTTGAGTGATGACCTAGAATTACAACTGCAGTGTAATAATCTAAGTTACCATTTTCCAAGTGGTATTCCAAAAGGAATTCTTTTGTATTCCTTTAACTGTGTATGAGCATTGTAATTGTTTGATATCTTGCTAACATGCTTCAATATTTGTCTTTGTTGTTAAACTGTTAATGTTGTTCTGCCTTTAAGTGTTTTATGAGCTTAATATGTATTTGAGGCCTGCTTCATAGCTATACCACAGCAAGTCACGCTTTCTGATGACAGAAAGCCAGGCCACAGTTTTCATTAGTACTGACTCTAAGTATTTACCATCAAGTCAAGGAATAAACAAGTGACATGAAACTATATTTCGCCAGAATTCTTAAAAATTATTGCTCAGTTTTAAAATTTAAGTGTATATACAACAGTCAGTTTTACTCATCTGGATTTTTAGTAAAGCAGCTTTGGTTTTGTTCTTTAGAAACTTCTCTGGGGTATAAGTACATTCATTTATTGCGTAATTCACTGATTTTCGGTGAGTCCCACAGTTGGCAGCACCCACTGCACATCATCCAGTCTGAGTACTTTCCCATCACCTCAGGAAGAGCCTCATGCCCGTCTGCTTCACTCAGTGTTCTTGCTCCCAATCCTGGCAGTGCTCACTTACTTTGAGCCACTATCCATTGGCTTGTCCTGTACCCTTCATATAAATGAGACATGCAGCAGATGGTCTTCAGGAAAGGTTCTTGAGCCTTCTTTCATCATGGGGATAATGTATTTCTTTCACACAGGCTTTTCTCTGTATTGAATTCTCACATTGTCAGTATCACTCAGAAGTGGTAGTTTATTCTACCACAGCAAGTTCACTGAGCTCTGTGGGCACTGGAGTTTATCCCTGCTGTAACCAGAAGGTTCTTCGATTTGATCCCACTCAGCTCATAAAGGTGAGATTGTTTGTTTGTTTGTTTGTTTGTTGTTTGTTTGTTTCAATCTCTGATTTTTTGAAAGTTTCGTGTATGTGTACAATGTATATTGGTCATGCCCATCCACCATGGTCTCTCCCTCCAGCTCCCCTAGTTCCCCATCCCAGCTCCTTCCCACCTTCGTGGTTTTCTTGTTATTAATAACCTTCTGAACCCAGTTATTTCTGCCAGAGGAACTAAAGGTAAGTTTTCACTATTTCCTTTTAAAGGTCAGCAGCCTCTAACATTTTTTGTGTTTTTTTTTTTTTATATGCATTAATGTTTTGCCTACATGTATATCTGTGTAAGGGTGTCTGATCTTGGAGTTATAGACAGTTGTGAGCTGCCATGTGGGTGCTGGGATTTGAACCCCGGTCCTTTGGAAGCACAGTCAGTGCTCTTAACCACTGAGCCATCTCCAGCCCCCAAGTCTCTAACATTTTTATGTAAAATCTTTTTCCTTTTAAGTGTAAAACAAATATAAAACATGAAACAAACAAACTTCAAAGGATACATACAGAAGTAAAGAAAGACATAGAAATCTCTCTTCCCACCACTCCCTAGTTTCTTAGAAGTAACAAAGGTTAACACTTCTTTCAGATCTTTTTTATCTTATTACTTTGACAATTTCACACGTGTCTAATATATCTGGACACACTCATTCCTCCCCACCCCCCCATTCTCTTACCCTTCTACTATCTCTACTATCCCCCCACCCCTCCTGCCAGGAAGGCCCCATCCCACTTTCCTGTCTTTTGTGTATTATTTTTGTTTGTGGCATGCTGGATATAACCAGGCTCACTCACATAGGCTTTATTTTGAAACTGTCTACTGAAATATGGATAACTCATGACTGCATCACTAAAGACAATGACGCCCTTTCCTCCAGCAGCCCTCCACTGCCATTAGCTCCTCTGGGTAGGGTCAGACCCTTTAGTGCTTCCCTGTCTGTGACTGAATATTTGCTGCAAGTTTAGTCTTCTGCCAGCCCTATCAGGCAAGCACAGCTGTTGTGAGTTCATGTCAGACACCTAAGGCAGGATTTCATGGTCCTCCCTCAATACCATCCAGTTCTTAACACTTTCTGTTTCCTTCTTCCTTGATGCTCCCAGAGCCTTAGAAGATAGAATATGTTTAACACTCTTGAGGTGGTCGTACCTGGGAGAAGGGAGCATAAAAATGAGGCAGGTTAGTCTCAGGCAATAGCCAAATTTATTCAAAGCTTCAAACAATTTATACTGAGAGAGTTAAGAAATGTTACATGACCCTAGCCTGTCAGGTCTCATTAGGACTGGTTGCATTGTCTTTCTTTCTCTGTGGCCTGGCAAAGCTGCCCCCCACTCGGGGAGGTGAATGGACTTGGGAAGGGGCATGGGAGGAGATGAGGGAGGGAGGGTGGAATTGGGAGGGGATGAGGGACAGCACTACAACTGGGATACAAAGTGAGTAAACTGTAATTCATAAAAAAAAAAAAAAAATTCAGATTTACAGGCTGAAAAAAAGAAAAATGTTACCTGAGTAAATTCTCACAAGTTCAAGCTGTACATAATCACAAGGATGAGCTGCCCATGGCAAAAACATAGAGGCATGTTAGCAAATAATAAAAATGTAGGCATATAAACAAATAACAGTAGCCAGTTGTAATCAGTAATCAAAAGTAAAATCACTCCTATCTGCTACACCTGGAGCACATCCCAAGAACAATTCCATGTTTTTGAAGAAACTGAGGTCACAGGACTTTTGCCTTGCTTTCTTAGAGTTTTCTCACAAGTACTCAGAATTTCCCTCTCATGGTTCCATTCTTGGACCTTGTTCTGACGTATGACTCTCCCAATTCAGGGTGGTCACTCAACAGGCCCATGTTCTTTGTATCTTGACCAGCTGTGAATCTACCTTAGCCTCGGTATGTTACTAAGAGGACACAGGAGGCGTTGTTGGTCAAAGCCAACAGCCATAGAGTCCTGAGTCCAGCGCGCTGCCTACTCCCATGCTCTCCGCCACCATGTATTCCAGATCTTTTTTCTTGTCCTTTTTTTTTTTTTTAAAGAATTTTGTGAGCCAAGCATGTTGGCTTGCACTTGTAATCCTAGCACTCAGGAGGCTAAAGTGGGAAGATTAACAAAGAATTTGAACTACTTGGTAAATACCAGAAAGCTTGGGCTACAGATAGGACCTTAAGAAACAAATACATTTTAAGGACAAATTATTGGTAGGGTGCTTTTTGTCTGTCTGTATGTCTGTCTGTTTGTTTGTTTGTTTGTTTGTTTTTAATAGTTATACTCCACATTATTCTTTTAAGATTCATGTGTGTGTGTGTGTGTGTGTGTGTGTGTGTGTGTGTACGCACACACATGCTCATGCTCGCATGTATGTGCACATATGTTTTGATGCATGTCTGCATGTGTTCTGGTGCCCAAGAAGATCAGAAAAGGGCACTGGATCTCTGGAAACTGAGTTTTGGATGCTGTAAGCAATCATTTGGATTCTGGGAACTGAACCTAGATCCTTTAGAGAAGTAAGAGCTCTTAACAGCTGAGCCATCTTTCCAGCCATGTTTTTAAACATAGGTTCTCATGTATTCCAGGCGGCCTTAAACTTACTAAGTAGCCAAGAATGGTCTTGCATGTCTGCCTCTTGAGTGCTGGGATTATAGGCCTGTGCCACCACCCTTGGTTTGCACAATAGCCCTGGGAGCAGAACCCAGGGTTTCTATGGATGCTGGACAAGCAGTCTATCCCCAGTACAAAAAGGCTGTTTTGTTTTGTTTTGTTTTGTTTTGCAGTACTAAGACTTGAATTTAGAGCCTTACACATGCTAGGAAAGTACTCTTCTACTAAACAGTATTCTCATACCTTACATTATTTTCTAATTTCCCTTTTTCATGCAACAGCTTACTTAGGTTATCTTTCTGTGTCATTTTATTTGGCGTGTATTATAATGTATTTAATCATTCTCCTAGTTGTTAAAGTTATCCTTATAAAATTGTGTTTGTTTTTTAGTTTCTCTCTACCTGGCTATCACCCAAATAATTGAGACTCCATTGTATTATTTTAACAAACTTCACAGCACAATAACTGAGCAATTACTACTCTGTTCTTTTTTTATTATTAGTTACATTTTATTAACTCTGTATCCCAGCTGTATCCCGCTCCCTCATTTCCTCCCAATCCCACTCTCCTTCCCCCATCTCCTCCCTGCCCCAAGTCCACTGATAAGGGAGGACCTCCTCCCCTTCATCTGACCCTATTACTCTGTTCTTAATCTTCTCGGTTAATCTGGCTTTCATCCACCATATATCCCATAGATACTTGCATTTTGTGACTTTCCTGCTTCAACTCTGAGCTCTCTCCTCATATCTCCTGTACCTATGCCCATGGCTGAATCTCCTACATCCATTTCTAACTCCTCCTCCCCTGGCTGGCAGGAAGTCCAGCCCTATTCTCTCCCCTGCTCAGTAATTTGCTGTAAGCTGCTTTATTAGAATGCCAGGGGACAATTGGGGAGCGGTGTTTACATAACATTGAGACAGGTGATTCTCAGAATGATGATTGCAGCCAGATATGGAGGGTACAGAAAATAAATAAGTAAGCATTAGATTTTAGTCTAATAAAAGGTTTTTTCTCTTGCACTAACAAACTATATGTAATAATAACAATCCTGAAAATTATTAGGTAAGATTTACATTTGTATTTTTGGCACCCTTGGATAAAGAATTATACTATCAATTTCTATCATCCTAAACAATTTAAATGTAACTGTGAGATTATAACTGTCTAGTCTTCATTCCCATCAGAAATTTAAGAAGGAATAAATATTACCTAAATATGTAGAAAGTACAGGTAGGCACCTTCCAAAATTATAAATGAGAGAGATATATGGCTGCCTGGCTAGGCCCCCAAATTTTCTCTATGACATTGGAGCATCACCTTCTGGCTTAGAATATTTGACAGACTTATTATTATACATTATTATGCCTGTACACCTGCACACCAGAAGAGGGCACTAGATCTTATTATAGATGGTTATGAGCCATCATGGGGTTGCTAGGAATTGAACTCAGGACCTTTGGAAGAGCAGTCAGTGCTCTTAACCTCCCAGACATCTCTCCAGCCCTTGACAGACTTTTTTAGAAGCAGGATTACAAATGACTTGCCTACCTTGTCCTTGCAAAGTGAGTTTCCCATATCCAGTTTGTCTAGTTAGGACAGTATTCTGTCTGTAATTGACACAAAAGCATTTTCTCAGCCAGTGGCTAGCTTGCCACATATGAAGCTTTTGATGCTCTTTGAAGTAGAATGGGGGTGCTGTCAGGAGTAGACCTGACTCATGGAAAAAAAGGCCTTACGCTAATAAAAATTTAAAATGCCATATTCTGTAGATCTCTGAGGGTTTTTGAAGTTCATCTATGTATTTTATCTGAATTTTTTGTTTCTAGCTATTTTTATCTGTAAATCTAGGAAAATCTTTCTCTTTGCTAAGTATCTCCTTTAAAGTACAATTGGATCTACATTTCAGGACTGCCAGGTCTGTATAGAGAGACGCTGTCTCAAAAACAAAGGGGGTGGGGGGAAAGGGAGGGAGCAGGAGGAGACTCATATATTGAAATACTATAGATTAAAGCAAATATTAAGTTACATGTAGTAGCATGGTGTAGTTATAAAAACAAAGTTAAAGAAAACAAGGCAAAACTAAACTGTATATCCAGGCATATACCTGCAAGGGGCCAAAGAATGAGGAAAAGAAAGAAGTGACTCTCAGAATTGAAATATAGGACAAAGGCTTATCTCTTGAGAGGAAGGAGACAGTTACATAAGATGGATGGGAACAGGAAGAGTTACTGAAGTATTCTGTTAGGACACACGTGTCACAGAGTATGTGTGGAGATCAGAGGACAGCTTGCAGAGGTGGGTTCTCCTCTTCTACCATGTGTTCCCAGGGACCGGGGTCAGGTTATGAGGCAATGGCTTGAGCAGTCTCTTCACCCCAGTGTTGTTTCTTTAAAAAAAAAAATGAAGAAGATTTATTTTCTTTTTAATTATATCTCTGAGTCTGGTATGTACATGTGAGTGCATGTGCCACAGAGGCCAGAGGTGTCAGCTCACCTGCAGCTGGAGTTGCAGGTGTTTGTGAGCTGCCTGCTGTAGGCGCTTACAGGTGAACTCCGTTCCTCCGCAAGAGCCATCCATGCCTCTGCCACCCAGCCCCCACTGGTTCTTAATGTTGATGTGATCATCTCAGGTATCTGTCAGAAGTGCATTTATGTTTCAGTTTCTTCTCTGCGTTTTTCTCCTTAGGGAAAAAGTGTAAAATATGACTTGACTGAAAAGAGATAATTATGATCTTTGAATACCTTTATTCCTGAGATTTTAATATAGGTATAAAACATATGACCATATCAACCTTCATTTCTCCCTACTAAATTCATGAGGTGTTTTTTTTCTTTCTCTTTTTGATAATAAACCTCTAAGTTCAGTTAGTGCTACCTATATGTTCATGCATGGGTATACAGTCGTCCAGTGAAGTGTGGGACTCTACCAGTGGCCACATTCCCCGAGATGAATGCTGTTCCTCCTCCAGTAATCATCAACTGCCTTCAGTAAGGTGTGGAGCCCTGTGTGTTCCACAGTTTAGGTTGGCTCTTACACAGTGTCTGAGTTAGTGTTCTGTTGCTGTAAAGAGACACCATGACCAAGGCAACTCTTAAAAAGAAAACATTTAATTGGGCTGGCTTACACTGTCAGAGGTTTAGTCCATTGTCATGGCAGGCGGCAAACAGGCAGACATGGTGCTGGAGAAGGAGCCGAGAGTTGTACATCTGGATCTGTAGGCAGCCTGAAGAGAGACACACTGAACCTGGTTTGGGCTTTTGACATCCAGTGACACACTTCTTCCAACAAGATCACACCCATTCCAACAAGGCCACATCTAATCCCTCCCAAGTAATGCCATTCCCTGACTAAGCATTCAAATCTATGAGCCAATGAGAAGGCTTTTCTTATTCAGCCACCACACACAGGGGACCACTTTGGCTGTGAGTTCCTGGATGCAGTGTTTACTCCATGCCCAGAAGACAGCATCTCACAGCACTTCTCCCTGTCTTACAGTTTCCCTCCTTTTCTGGAATGGTCCCTGAGCTTTGGTGGTGTATGTGTGGCATATTAGTATAGGTGTCCTGTTTATGGCCACCAATACATCTCTTAAAAGATTGTTTTTATAATGAGCCTACCTTGCAACAGTGTCTCTTATGTCTGACAGGGCTGTAAAGTGAGGGACCACGTGGTTATTCTTCATGATCAAGGAGAAAATGAAGATTTGCTTTCTTGTCCAACTACTAGAGTCCTGGATGATCTGCACAAGCACAAAGATGTCATTGCTGTACCTTTTTTTAAAGATACAGCCAGGTAAGGAAAAAGAACACTTTTCTCAGCCGTAGTCCGTGGTTTCCATGTCATGATTCAAGGTCCTGGAGGGTTTTTCCATATCAATATTGTCAGTCTTCAGATCGCTAGGATTTTAGAATGCTGAACTGCAGGGCTGGGGATATAGCTTGGTGGTACAACAACTATTTATCCTATACAGGACCTGGTTTGATCCCAATGTTAGTTAGAGTTTTTATTGTTTGATGAAACACCATGGCAAAAAGCAAGTTGGGGAGGAAAGGGTTTATATTTGGCTCACACTTCCACATTGTAGTCCATCACTGAAGGAAGCCGGGACAGGAACGAAAGCAGGGCAGGAAACTGGAGGCAAGAGCAGATACAGAAGCCATGGAGGAGTGCTGCTTACTGGCTTGCTTTTGGTGGTTTGCTCAGCCTGCCTTCTTACAGGCTCAAGGAGTCCAGGGATGGATGGCTCCCACAATGGACTGGGCCCTACACCATCAATCACTAGTTAAGAAAATGCCCTGCAGGCTTGGCTCTCAGCTGAGGTGCCTTCCTCTCAGATGAGTATGCTTGTGTCAAGTTGACATAAAAGCAGCCAGCATAAGGGTGAGGGTAGGAGGGAAAGAATGCTTCACTGAAATTATGATGCTTTACCCCAAGAACAGATTTATTTGACCGATAAAATAGGTCAAATAAATAGGAAGTCCAAGGGGAGGAAAAGCTAACAAAAAGAACTTGGTAATTAAAAATATTGAGATCTGAAATGTAATTTTTGAAAATTTTGAGTTCTTTTCCCACATTTCTTAACCCAACCCCCAACCTGGTCTCACACCATCATCCTGGGGATTAAACCTCAAGCACACTGAACAAGCCTTCCATGGCTGAGCTGTGCCCATGCTAAGAACTTCTTAAATCCTTGATTGACACAAATAGGGATGAAGTTGGCAGTCAAGATTATCCTTCTGTAACTTTGAACTCTTAAGTTCAGTCATTTTTTGGCAATCACTTGTGTTGTTTTGTAATTGCAGCAGGCTGTCAGTTGGGCTAGAGGACTCTAAAAGAGGCTTCTCAGAGAGAAGACCAGCACAGCACCCTTTTTACCACCTACCACCTGGCAGATAGGGTTTTTCTAGAGTAACAGTGTGCCTCTTATAAGATGAACTGCCAGAATAAGTAATTGCTAAACATATTTAAAATGTAAAATTGCCAGGCCTAGTGGTGTTCACCTTGAATCCCAGCAATTGGTAGGCAGAGGCAAATGATGATCTCTGAGTTTGAGGCCAGCCTGGTCTACGGAGTGAGTTTCAGAAGAGCCAGGGTGTTGCACAGAGAAACCCTGTCTCAAAACCAAAACAAAAACAAAAACAAACAAAAAAAAAAAAAAAGCAAATAAGTGTCATCCTTATAGTGAAGAACTACAATGCTGTTTTCTGTGGTGCTAAGGATCAAACCTGGAGCCACTTGCAATAACCTGTAATTCTTAAGCTAGAAGCAACATTTACAATAAGAAGGTACTTTGCATGTGTATGAGACCATATGGCCTTGGGAAGCCAGGAAAGGTGACACCTCCCTTGGAGCCACAGTGGCAGGTATCTGTGAGGCACAGTGTGAGTGTTGGGAACCAGCAGGTTTCTCCACAAGAGGAGCAGCTGCTGGGCCCTCTCCACCCTCCTGTAAATTGTTAAGACATTGAATGTTTCTCTGTAAGATGTCTTTTCATTTAAGTGAGCCTGGGGTCGCCTCCAGCGAGGAGAAGGTCCTGGAGTACGATGTCTTACTGGAGCCAAATACACCGTGGGGCTCCAAGGCTGGGGAGCTCAATGCTGTGAGTAACTCCTCTGTTAATGTGTGTGAAACTATTGCTGACATTTTATCCTTGACGGGAACCTAGTCTGTTTAAATTGAAATTGAACAGATTATCCAATTATAATACACTGAGTGACTAAAACTGTAAAGAGTGATAAGTAATATATATTTGGCTTCAAAGAACTGATGACTGACAAAATTTTAGAAAAAAAAACCTTTAGGCTTTCTATTATGGATAACAAATTGAGAAATGAAGAAAATGTGAGTGTTCTGTAATATTTTGGAACAATTTTTTTAAATTCAGGAATGTGTTCCATTTTTCAAAAGCTTCAAAATTGAAAAATTTTAAAGGTGACCAGAATAGCTTTGATTCGGTTATTTTTGTTACAAAGACCTAGGGAAATCTGTTAGCACACTACCTTTGATGGTTGAGGTAGAATTTGAGAAAATGGAAAACTCCAGAAAGCTATATAAAAACTAGATGATGAATATTTATGTGAGAATTACATATAAGCTGTATAATTATATGGTTCCTAAATTTACAATAAATAAATAACATGAAGGTGTTATAGAAATAGATGAGAAAGAGTAGGTAAAAAGTGACAGAGGCAGAGGAGAGAGCAAAAAGAGAAGAGGGTAAACAAAGGAGAGATAGAGAGCAGAGATAGGAAGGTAAGGGAGTGAGGAGAGACACTTACTGGGGTGAAGATTTAGAAGGAGAGAAGCAATCCCTCCATTTTATGCACAACTATACAAAACCTTGCACCCAGTCGAGGAGCAGGAAAAGCAGTTCTGTTCTCAGGGGAGGTACCTTCTTGGAGGTCCCAGGGCAGGAAGAGAAAGAGAGAAGTGGGGAGAGTATGAGAGGACATGGGGAGTGTGAAAAAGGTAGGAGAGACAGAATGAGAGGAGAGAGAGCAGAGAGTAAAGGAAGAGAGACATGAGAGAAAGAGGAACAGAGTAGAGAGAGATAGCAGGAAAGCGTGGTAGAAAAGGTGTGAGAGGGTAGAGAAAGATCAGACAAGAGATAAAAGCAGAGAGATAGAGGAAACAGAAAGATGAGAGATGAGACAGAAGACAGCAGAGAAAGATAGGAGAGATAGCATTAAAACATCAGAAAATGAAGAGACAGGAGACATTGAGAGAGCATAAAGAAGGGAGAAAAGGCAAGGACAAAGAGAAAGAGGCAGTTGAAGGGGGAGGACAGAGAGAAGACAAAATGGGGAGCAGTAGACAAGAAGGCAACTCACTAAGAAACAGGTCCCAGTCAGAGGAAAAAGCATGACATTTCATAGAAAGCACATTTTTAACCCTCAACCAGGCAGAAGGAGTGAAAGACAGGAGAGATAAAAGGGGGAGGGGTGGACAAAGAGGTGATTGAGAGAGGAGAGAAATAGAGAGGCAAAACAGAAGAGAGCGACAGACAGATAGGTGAAAGATGAGAGTCAGAGAGGAGACCATGGAAGAGCAAAGAGAAGACAGCAGCAATTAAAGGGGACTGAGAGACAGTTGAAAAGGCAAGTGACAGAGAGAAAGGGAAGAGATAAGAGAAAGTCAGGTCCTCCATTTCATACGGTAATTACAGAATCAGGTCCCAGCTAGAGGGGCAGGAAAAGCAGATACCTCTCGGAGGACACATTCTTAGCCTTCAACATAATGCTGCCATTTCCAGCTTTTGACCTACAAGCACCCGTGTGAATTCTTATTCTTATACATATTTGTACAGACATGTATCTGTATCAGTGTGAAACCTAGGGTCTACATACACAATAAAACAGGTCTTTCTCGTTTTATTTATTTCACTTAATATAGTGATTTTCAGTTGCATCTATTTTTTCATTTTTCTTATCGCTACATAAAATCGTGTGTGTGTGTGTGTGTGTGTGTGTGTGTGTGTGTGTGTGTGTGTCACACACACTATGTTTTATTTATCCATTCATCTGCTGGTAGATACCTAGCCTGGGTCTGTTACCTGGCTCTTGTGAGCAGTACAGCAGTTAACATGCATGTGAGAATATGTCCGGAATGTGTTGAGTTGTAGCTGGCTGGGTGTGTGCAGTTGTTGCTGGGTCCTGTGGCAGTTCTGGTTTCAGCTTGTTGAGAGGCCTCTGTCCTGACTTCCATAGTTGCTGCAAAAAAAAAAAAAAAATCTGCTAGCAGAAAATTAAGGGCCTCTTTCCCTATATTCTCACTAGTGTTTGTTGTCCTTTGTTTTCTTGATGCTAGCCATTCTAGGCAAGGGGTTTTAAAGATAGACATATCATTAGACCAAGATAACATTTTCAGCTCAAGTTTTGAATTATTTAAACCTGAAAATGAACCGTACTTGTAAGCATGTGAAAACAGGGAGCCACCATGGAGGGCTGTTAACCTACTGTCCCTCTGCCTTGTAGTTCTTGTCCCTGAAAAACTGGACTCTGCAGTTGGTAAGTGAGCCACTGGGTTCAATTTCTTTGACTTCCTGCTTCTGTATTGAAGTTTGATAATGAAATCTTATTATCTTATCTTATAAACTTTGTTTAAATGTTTGTTTTCTTGTCAGCCTTTGCAGTTTTAACACTTATTAAAAAATGCCATAGATTATTTAAGAAAAATATATACCCTTCTGTGGTGATCCAGGCCTGTAGTCCCACCATTTGGGAGGCTGAGGCAAGATTCTGGTTAAAAAGCTTTTTTACAAGATATGTGTTTGCTGCCAATGTCAGAGTGCCCTTGGAAACTAGAGGTAGGTATCAGAACCCCTGGAGTCAGAGATTATGAGCCACCTGACCTGAGTCTGGGAAACAGAACCATAGTCCTTTGCAAGAACAGTAAATGTTCTTAACCACTGAGCCATCCTCCAGGCCCTGCTTTAAAGACTTTGTTTGTTTGTTTTTGTTGTTCCTGTTTCTCTGTCCTGGACTATCCTGGGCTCACATCGGGGGCCCTGCTGTCCTGGAACTGTCCCAGAACTGTCCTGGAAGCTGTTGACCTGCTTCCTTGAGTGCTGGGATTAAAGGCGTGACCACCATGCCCAGCTTAAAGACTTTTTAAAGTCACCTTTAAAACACATTTAGGGGCCTGTGAGATGCACATAGTTAAGGATGTCTGCCACCACACCCAATGACCTGAGTTAATCCCCCGGACCCATGAGGTTGAAGGAGATAACCAACCCCTGCAGTTTTTCTTCTCACCTCTGCACATGTGTCCACACACCAATAAAAAATAAAAAGTGTGACTAGGTCACATTTATGATAATATAAAGTCTAGTAAGTTTTTTTTTTTTTTTTTTTTTTTTTGGCATTTTATTTTGTGTTTTGGCTTCTCAGATAATTTCATGTTGCCCAGGCTGGCCTGGAATTCTGTGTGTAACTGGGGGTGACTCTGAGCTCCTGATCCTCCTGCCTCTACCTTCCCAGTTCTGAGATCACTAGCATGTATGATTGTGTGTGTTTGTTCATTTTGTTTTTCTGAGACATGGTCCCCATGTATAGAACAGGCTAGGTTCAAACTTACCATACTCCTGCTTTGGGCTCCCAAGTGCTGACATCACTATAGCTAGTATTTTATTAGCCCATTTTAAAAAATATTTATTTTAAATTCTATGTGTGTTTCTGTGTGCATACACATACATGTGAGTGCCCCACAGAGGCCAGAGTTATTGGATACTGTGACGCTCAGGTGATATGTTTGTGAGGCACTGATGTGGGTGCTGAAATCCAGCTTCAGGAGAGTAGTTAACACTCATTACTGCTGAGCCATCTTTCTAGCCCCATTTTATTAGTTCTTACTTGATTCACTCAAAATTAACTACGTATATGTGTTCTTGGGAAGGCGGTTATGGCGGTTATGTGGAATTTATAATAGATGAGTCTTCCTCTACACTTAGAAGCAGCAGTCGCTGTTCTCAGAAGAGGAAGAGTACACCACTGGGTCTGAAGTCACTGAAGATGAAGTCGGGGATGAAGAGGAAGTGTCCAAGAAACAAAGTAATGGCTCCTAATTGAAATCAACCTTCACTATTTGTGGAGAATTATATTCTGAATAGTTTAATGCAAGCATGGGTGATTGGCTTTCTATGTCTACATGTAAGGTTACACTGAGAAAAAGAAACAAAGAGAAAGCTCCATTAATTCCTAACCCAGGCTGGCCTGATAGTTCATCAGGCAAAAGTGCTTGCTGCCAAGCCGGTACCTGGGACCCACATGATAGAGAGAGCCAACTCCTACAAGCTGTCCCTCTGGCCTCCACATGCGCATGTGTGCCAGGGTGCTCACATGTTCACATCAGCGCAGAGAGAGTAAGTAAACAACCCTGGTGCTCTGTATACATTGTCCTTGCTCAGAGAAGGGAGAGATGCTTGAGCAGTTAAGAAAGCTTGCTGCTCTTTCCGAAGCCCGGAGTTTAATTCCCAATACCCACATCAGGTGGCTTATAACCTTCTGTCTTTAGCCACTTAATTTTAACACTAATTAGTGGTATCTGTGAATGCTTTTCTCAGTTGAAAAGATAATTTCTATTTCTTTATTGCTAGGTTTTTGTAGTGAATGAATATTGTAGTTTATCAAATCCTTTTTTATTTTTTAAAATAATTTTTATTTATTACAGTCTATTCACTTTGTATCCCAGCTGTAGTCCCACCTTCGTTCCCTCCCAATCCCGCCTTCCCTCCCTCCCTCCCTCATTTCCTCCCATGCCCCTTCCCCAGTCCACTGATCGTGGAGGTCCTCCTCCCCTTCCATCTGACCCTAGCCTATCAGGTCCCATCAGGACCTGTCTTTCATAGTGTTCCTCTGTGTCCCGGTCAGGCTGCTCCCCTCTAAGGGGGAGGTGATCAAAGAGCCAGCCACTTAGTTCAGGTCAGAGAGAGCCCCTGCTCCCCTTATTAGGGAGCCCATTTGGACACTGAGCTGCCATGGGCTACATCTGTGCAGGGGTTCTAGGTTATCTCCATGAATGGTCCTTGGTTGGAGTATCAGTCTCAGGAAAGACCCCTAGGCCCAGATTTTTTTGGTTCTGATGTTCTTTTTGTGGAGCTCCTGACCCTTCCAGGTCTTTCTATCTCCCCCTTCTTTCATAAGATTCCCTGCACAGTGCCCAAAGTTTGGCTATGAGTCTCAGCATCAGCTTTGATGCCCAGCTGGGTAGAATCTTTCAGAGGCCCTCTATGGTAGGCTCCTGTCTTGTTCCTTATTTTCACCTTCTTCTGATGTCTATCCCATTTGCCTTTCTGAATGAAGATTGAACATCTTACCCAGGGTCCTCCTTCGTGCTTAGCTTCTTTAGGTGTACAGATTTTAGTATGATTATCCCATATTATGTTTAATGTCCATTTATAAGTGAGTATATATCATGTGTGTCTTTTTGGGATAGCTTACTCAGGATGACCTTTTCTAGTTCCCACCATTTGCCTGCAAATTTCATGATTTCCTTGTTGTTGTTTTTAAATTAAATACTTATTTTTTATATTAATTATAATTTATTCATTTTGTATCTCAGCTGTAGCCCACTCCCTCATCCCCTCCCAATCTTACCCTCCCTCCCTCCCTCATTTCCTCCTATGCCCCTCGATTTCCTTGTTTTTAATTGTTGAGTAGTATTCCATTGTGTAAAAGTGCCACAGTTAGGAAATTATTCTGGAGCTGGAGAGATGGCTCAGAGGTTAAGAGCACTGGCTGTTCTTCCAAAGGTCCTGAGTTCAATTCCCAGCAACCACATGGTGGCTCACAACCATCTATAATGAGATCTGGTGCCCTCTTCTGGTATGCAGGTGCATATTGCAGGCAGAATACTAGAAAGATTCCACTGTAAAATTAGAATGGGAAAAATAAGTATGTAGTCTTCCCTGGCATTTTAAGTGAGCATACAAAGCAGCAGGTTTCATTATGCCCTCATTTTTTCCCCCAAAGAGTTTTACCAGGTACAAAGAAGAATGATTACAACGAACCCTATAAAGCAGCTTCCATCTGACTTCCTAGACATTATTGCTCTCTTTTCTTCTGAAAACATAAAGTTGTTAGCTAAGTGTTTTTTAGAAGTAGCAGTAACATTGGCAGTGTGTGCGGCTCATGTTCCCAGTATTGTCCTTTGTTTATCAGGGAAAAGGGAGAAGCCAAAGAAGTTTTCTAAGCAACCAAAAAAGCAGCTTTCTTCACCCTGTTCTCAAAAGAAAGAAAAGACATTGGAGAAGGTAACTGGAAGATCTAATACAGTTCTAAAGTTCATATAAGAGGTAAACTAGCAAGTATAGCCAAGATAAGTTCAAACAGAGTAGTGAATAGTACGGTGGGAAGCTAGCAATGTAAGTGAACGAGGCTTAGAAGGCACAGGAGCATTGGAAAAGGAATGCATAGGCACAACACACCATCCTTTGTGTAAAGAGATGGGAAAGGTGCATGGATTCCCTTCCATGTGCATAAACCGTCCTTGTAGAGATGCACAAGCAAGTGGTAAGATTAACTGCTCCTGAGGAAGGGAACTTGATGCAGAAGGGCTCCTAGAGACACTTATTATTATATGTGCTAAGCAGTAGTACACATTTGTAAAGCGTAAATACACTTGAAATTGAGTAAATTCTATTTTATAACCTATAAAACCCACTTTTATTTTCTGTGCCATAGAAGAGATCAAGTGCCAGGACTGACAGAACAGTAGTAGCTGTAGTGACTGAAGAGAGTCCCTGAGTTCCAAAAGTGTGTGAAAGGCCACTTGTAAGATAAGATCTACATGGCAGTTCACAATTGTCTGTAACTCCAGTTCCAGAGGATCTAACACCCTCACTCAGACAATACGTGCAAGCAAAACACCAGTGCACACAAAAGTTTTTAAAAGGATATGATCCAGTTACATTGGATTACTACAGATGTATGAATGTGTTTTTCAAGATTGCATTTTAAGCGTAGCATGAGTTCAACAGATAGACATTCAAAGTATTTTTTTCTCTTTAATGAAGTTTCTTAGCTTCTTTGAACCTGTGTTACTATGAAGGTCATAATATGTTTATTTCGTCATTATAGACCTTTTGCTGCAAGGGTTTGTTTATTTATTTATTTGTTTGTTTATCTATTTATTTAAACAGGGTCTTACTATATCACCCTGGTTGGCCTAAAACCCACTATGTTGACCCAGCTGGCCTTCAACTCATGGAGCCCTGCCTGCCTCTGCTGAGATTAGAGCGGGCACCACCATCCCTAGCTGTTGCTGCAAGATTTAAATGAAATAACAGTTTTAAATGTTCTTGGTATAGTGTCTTGAACTCCAATAAATGTAAATTGTTTTATGATTAATTAGAACACTACTCAATAAATATGCTCTAATTAGATATTAATGTTATCTTCTCTTTTTTTTCAGTCAACTTCTAGAGATGTTTCTCCTTTTGTGTGAGTATTTGTCCCTTGTCCAATTGAAAATCCATCCTTTGTTTTTGTCGGCTTGGTTTTGGTTTTGACACAGGGTCTGTATTGGAAGCCCACTCTTGTTTTGTTCAATTTACCCAACAGTGTGAGTGTGCAGAAGAACAAGTGGGACGCCACAAGATCCTTGAGGTTCAACCAAGATGCACAAAGAGAAGACGGTAAATTCTATTATCTGAGTAACACACACACGTTAGGTACAAATAACAATGTTTTATTACTATGTGTATTTGTGGGGTGTTACACGCAGGTGCCTTTGGAAGTCAGAAGAGACTGTCAGATATCCTGGGGCTGGAGGTACAGGCAGCTCTAAGCTGCTTGATATGTATGGGTGCTGGGAACCAAACTTGGGCCCCCTTCGAGAAGAGTTTGTGCTCTTAACCACTAAACCATCTCTGCAGCCCCATGAATTATTTTTTTATAAAGTATGTTAAATAGTTTTTTTAAAGATTTATTTCTTTATTTTACATATGAGTGCTCTATTTGCGTGTACATCTGCATGACAGAAAAGAGGGCACTAGATCTTATTATAGATGGTTGTGAGCCGCCATGTGGTTGCTAGGAATTGAACTCAGAACCTCCTTAAGAGCAGACAGTGCTCTTAACCTCTGAGCCATCTCTCCAGCCCCATGTTGAATAGTTTTGAAGGTTCCAAAATAAGGCCCCACATGTGCACATTCTCTTTGGCACCAGTCAGAATTTCATTTAGTAATGGCCATCCGGTGGGTTATGTTGTTCACGCATCTGTGACTTTAAGCTTAGACTTGTTCTTATGTGTTTACATACTGTAAAAATTACTACCGATGTTTTAGGTTGTGTCTTAACTTGTGCTCTTACAACAAAATACTCAAAGCTGAGTATTTTATAAAGAAAAGAAGTCTTTTTAGCTTACACTTTTTCAGTACCAGTAATTGTTTCGGCCCTGGTGAAAACCTGCAATCCTCGCATGGCAGATGGCATCATCAGGAGCACTATAGGAGGAAACATAGCAAAAAGGGAAACAAAAAGGTCCTTTTTGTAACAACCTGACCTTACAGGAATTAAGCAGGGTCACACCATAACTACGTTGGTCTCTTCTAGGACTGGTGGCTCTAGTGAGCTAGCCACTTTTCACCAGGCCCCAGCTCTGAGGTTCCAGCACACTCAATATTACCAGAGTAGGGATCAGACTCACAGCACGTGATTCTTTGGGAGACATACTCACACCACATCCAGCAATCTGAGAGGCAGAACAGCTATCCATATGTTAGCCATTTGCTACATGCTACCTTAAATTCTTCACAGATGTATGAAAGTGTGTACCTGGAAAAAATAGCAAGTGGTATTTTTAGAAACCTTTCTTGATTACAGTCTTTCTTAAAAAATGAAAACTGTGTTATTCTCATGAAAAGTAATGTTCTGTTCTTTATCTTCAGATCAGCGACGGATGACTGAAATTACAGGGCATCTAATAAAAATGAGATTGGGTGATCTGGACCGAGTCAAGTCAAAGGAATCAAAGGAAGTAAGAATTATTTACAAGTGTACTATATTTATGTAAAAATTTCTTCCTACTTTTATTTCATCATGAAAAATAATTAACTATTGTCTTGGGTAGGTTTTCTATAGTTGTGTAGAGACACCATGACCATGGCAGATCTTATAAAGAAAAACATTTAATTGGGGCTGGCAGTTTAGAGGTTTAGTTCATTGTCATAACGGTGGGAAGTATGGTGCCATCAGGCAAACATGGTGCTAGGGAAGGAGCTGAGAGTTCTACATCTGGGTCAGCAGGCAGCAGGAGGAATGATACTGGGCCTGGCTTGAGCATCTGAAACCTCAAAGCCCACTCCCAATGACACACTTCCTTCAACAAAGCCAGCCTCCTAATAGTGCCTCTCCCTGTGAGCCTGTTGGAGGCTCTTTCATTCAAACTACCACAACTATTATACCATACTTGTGTAAAGTGTTCCCTCCTTGTTTTATTGTTAGCATGAAAAATATTTTTTATTTTTTTTAAAGAGATATTTTATTTATTATTTATACAGTACTCTGCCTGGATATATGCCTACACTCCAGAAGAGAGCCCCAGATCTCACTAGGGATGGTTGTGAGCCACCATGTGGTTGCTGGGAATTGAACTCGGGACCTTTGGAAGAGCAGCCAGTGCTCTTAACCTCTGAGCCGTCTCTCCAGCCCCTTTTAAATATTTTTAAAATGATGCTAAAGGAGCGTCTTAGATATTTTTATATTCAGTGCCGGTTAACCAAATGTCACATACAAATTTTCTGTCATCCCCCATTATCTATGGTCCATATGTTCTCTGTATTGCATGTGATAAAGCATATTATCTTTAAAACATAATGTCACACCAGGAATAAGTTAAGCTGTGCACTATTAGCCAGGTGAAGAAAGTGCTGGATATGGTCGCCTTTGTGTGTATTACCTAGATGTTACTCTAAGACAGAATGCCGACCTCTGAGGATCAGGGCTGTACGTACTTGTACCCCTGGAAGGCGTAGTGTCAGTGATAGCGCTAATGTCAGTGATAATGCTATCTGTTACGAGAGTCATAAGTGCACTGTAACTCCTGCCCTATCCCTGGTCTGTACATTTTCACTTTTTTATCGGAATGTAGCTCATTGATAAGAGTGCATGCCTAGAATGCACAGGGCCCTGGATTCAATCCCCAACATCAAAAGTGGAATGAAGTAAGTGGGACAACATAAAAGAAAAATTTATGGGGCTAGAGAGATAGCTCAGAGTTAAGAGCGCTGCCTGCTCTTCCAGAGGTCCTGAGTTCAATTCCCAGCAACCATGGTGGCTCACAACCACCTATGATGAGATCTGGTGCCCTCTTCTGGCCTGCAGGTGTACATGCAGGCAGAACATTGTATACATAATAAATAAATCTTAAAAAAAATTTACTACCTATAAACTTTACAAAGAAAAACAAACTGATCCTCAGTTAGATAAAACTTTCTTAGCTGAAAAGCCTCTACACTTGTGGACATATATGCACACATACACACGCACACCGCTAAATTAATTGTTTAAGATTTGTATTTTCTTAGCTTTAACACTAAAGCATAATCCACAAAAGAAAAATTAATCAGAATTCACCAAAACTTAAAGTTCTTCTTTACAACCACTAGGTGATGGATCAGCCAGAGCTATATAGTGAAAAAGAGAGGGTTCAAACACAATCTTTGATAAAGAATTTCTGGAAAAGGAAGGGAGAATGTTGTAATTAAATTATCTTTAAAAAGCTCAATACTCAATAATAAAATAATTCAATAAAAATAAATAGGCAAGCCAGGCATGGCGGTGCACGCCTTTAATCCCAGCACGAGGCAGGCAGAGGCAGGCAGATCTCTTGAGAGTTCCAGGGCCCCTGACCTACATAGCCAGTCAGGGTGACATGTAAAACCATGTCTCGGAGTAAAATATCAGAAGCTGGAGAGATGCCATAGCATTTACAAGCACTGGCTGCTCTTGCAAAGGACCCATGTTCAGTTCCCAGCACCCACATGGCTGCTCATGACCCTCTGTAACTACTCCATCCCCAGGGGATCTGATACACAGCTATGCAGGCTAAACACGTATACACACAAAATAATAGAATAATTTAAAACAATAACGAGTAAATAAACCAGGCGAAGGATTAGCCAAACATCTTGAAGAAGGGGAAGCAGGTAGCAAGTAAACATGAACAAAATAAAGCACCATTAGTCACTGGAGAAATGCACATTAACATCTCAGTGAGGTTCTGCTTCTGAAAGTTTGGAAATTTTTGTTTAAGTGCTTGTGAGGATGTGAAACAAATGGAATTCTTCTATACAGCTTGTAGCAGTGCAAAAGGAATGGAAATTGCTTGGCAGTTTTCATAAATGCCATGCATAAATAGTTACATTATTCATAATTGTGAAAAACTAAAGACTCCAAAATGATGTCCTTTTCCTGGTAAATATGACAAGGAAAATTCTGAGATTACCTCAATTTAAAAGGGCTAGAGTTAAGACAGAGGATGCTTAACTCAAAACAAGGTGTATGGTCCACACTATAGTCTCAGTGCTCAGGAGGGTGAGATTGGACAAGCTTTGGAGGGTTCACAATAAACTACAAATATTTAAAATAAAGAATAGAGGCCAGAGAAATTATACAGTGGCTAAGAGCAGTATGAGAATCGGAGCTCAGATTCTAGCCCCAGCTGTGCTCCTGTGCGTACCTGGAACCTAGCACCTAGGGGAGAAGAGACTAAATGGCTTGCTGGCTGCATCCTAGCTGAAATAAACTTGAGTTCCAGGCTCAGTGAGACACCCTGCCTCAGAGGAACAAGGCAGAAAATGCTAGAGACAGTACTAATACCTTCCTCTATTCTCCACAGGAGCACAAACACACACAGAATAAATCCTCATGTGTACATACAAATTCCTGCATGGATAAATTTTCTTAACTAAGTTAAGAAAAGTGTGGTGGTGCAGGCTTGTCATCCCAGCACTCGGGGAGGCAGAGGCAGGCAAATCTCTGTCAGTTCGAGGCCAGCCTGGTCTGCAAAATGAGTCCAAGACAGCCAAGGCTACACAGAGTAACCCTGTCTCGAAAAGAGAGAGATTGAAAATGCCACATAGTGTGCGGCTGCGTTTTCGTTCTGTTGTGGAAATGCTGAACTGTACTGACAGGAGAGCAGGGCAGTGGTGGGTGGAGGTGGTGGATGGACTGACTTCAAGTGGACTTCAGGGGGTCTCTGTAGGGGTGACCAGACTGCTCTGTGTCTTCATCGTTGAAGGCTCTTACAATGGCCGCACCCAGAACTCTGTACTAAAATGGAGCCAGAGCTCTTCAGATCAAAAATAAAATTACTTTCTAAAACTGGAAATAGGTTTTGTTATGGGTCAGACCTTACTTCTTTGAAGGTAATTTAATTTTGCTTCCTTATTTTACAGTTTGCAGGTGGTATTTATTCTAGGATTGAAGCACAGATCAAAGCCTCAGTGCCTGTCAGTGCCCGGCAAAACAGCTCAGACAAAACTGTGAGGTAAATGAGCAAGAAGCAAGCAAGATGCCTCTAGCTTTTCAGAGTAAATCATGTGAACCCTAAAAGCATGCAGCATGAGTTCAGTTTTTATTTCATCAAAGTCAAAACTGATCTTAACTTGAAAATATTTTTAACGGTCATGAACACAAACTTTCATGAACATAAAAGATGTAGTATTTTTTTAAAGTTTTCTGTTTATTTGGCCAACTCCATTTGAGTCCACTGATAAAAATGAACACAGTAGGGTTGCTCTATGCAGCCTAGAGGTAAGAACCTTTCCTAGCGCACACAAGGCCGTAGATTTGGTCTCTAACACCAAATACTACTACTAATAATAATAATGTGCTAGTACTGATAGGTACCGTGCAAAATTACCAAGCTATGTAGAGCGTGTGTCCGTATTATGGAAATTCCCGACTCTTTCCTGTTGCTTGTTTGCTCCGTTTCTCTCTTCCCCTGCCCCGTCTCCCCTGTCTGCTCTCTGTCTTTCACAGTGTGGAAATAGGGCAGGCTGTGCTGCAGATAGATGGTGTACTCTCAGGCGGTGGCGTGACCAGCCGGAACACTGTGTTCATCTACATTTTCAGCTCTGCATTTTTTCTAAAGAGTCTTCTTTCCTAAGCCCTTAATCTGCCCAAGTAGTTGACAGACTCCTTAGTTCAACCTTTTTACAAGAAGGCGATGAAATGTCTTATTCTTTACCCAAAAGCCTCCCGAGTATAATAGCATGTTCTTGTCTTAATAAAATTGTCTTGAGCCATTTGCCACACAAATTTTCTGTTAGAACTTAAGTTCCTAAGATGTAAACACTAGGATTAGCAATGCTAATATGCTCAGTCTGTAATTCTGAAATCTATAAAGCTCAGAAGTCAAAAGCCTTGTCAAACACGTATGGTAAGTCTGTCTTGAACTGCTATGATTATAGTTGTAGTCTTTAGTCTTCTCTCTAAAGACTAAACAACGAATGTTCGTTGTTTCCCTGAAGAAACGTTAATGTGTTTCATTATAGACTGGTCCTGAGCTATACTATGCAGTATACATACTACGTTCTCTCTCAAAAAAAATTTTTTCTTAATGTGAATTCCAAACTGCACCTCACTCTGGAATTTTAGAAGATCCATGAAAGCAACACAAAGTTTCACTCTGTGTAGATGCTGTCAGGCAGACAGTCTGAGGTAGCAGCAAGAACCTGTTCTAGAAGCAAGTCTGACTTTGTTTTCTGTTTAAAAAACCTAGGTCTAAAAGTCGCTTTGGTCAAGGGCGTCCTGCATAGAACACCCTAAATATAAAAAGAGAAGGCACGCTCCTGCACATCTGAAATTCCTCTTTCCTGAAGATCTTCAAAGCAATGGCTTCTAGGGGTCTTACTAGTTATTCCTGCAAACCACATAAATCATGCTGAGACAGATAGATAGGTGTCGTTAAAATCCAATTGTAAATATAAATCTTCTTAGATAAATGTCTCATGTCTAGGCTGTGTAGAAAGCAGTTGCAAACTTTACATCGTTAGGAGCCCTGACGGTGGCTGCCCTTTGTGTATTTGGAAGGGAGGACGCCTGAAAGAGATCAGGGATGCACGAGCGTAGTGGCGCTGAGCACGTGCACGGACCATTGGGTGTTTGGGGGCAGGATGAACTGTCCAGCGACGCGAAATTTAGTTTGTATAGACATTAAGGAGTGACGTTTCTTGAAGCTGCATTAATAGAGTTTCAAGGTGAGGTTATTGTAATATGTTGGGCCAGAAGGATTAATCTTTTCAGTCTTATCCTATGGAAAGTACAGTGGTAATCCAACTTCTGTTTCTGTCAGTTATTCATGCTTACCTGTAAGCCATCTGAGCCTGAGTTACTGGTCATTGCCTCTCTCCTCTGTGAAGGCAGTGACATTCTGAATTTCCTAATACAGCCTGTGACGGTTTTAGGGAGTGAATCATTTCAGTTCTATGACACAGTCATTTGCATGGTTCTCAGATCAATCCATTCGCTGAATCTATTTCAACAGTCCCTCAGAATTTATGATTGCTAGTTACTTAGAGATGTGTTAAGATTTCCAGATTAGATGGCTGGAAATTTCATACATTCAAGAAACAAAACTATTTTATAGACCATGTTTTAATTTTTCTAACCAGGTAGACAGCATACTCAGGGAAATTTTGTTCTAGACTGTAAGCATGTACTAAATCATGTGTTTGAAAATTACTTATAGGTCTCTGAAGACCATAATATGCACACTATTTTTTTGTTTGTTTTTTTGAGACAGGGTTTCTCTGTGGAGCCTTGGCTGTCCTGGACTCACTTTGTAGACCAGGCTGGCCTCTAACTCACAGAGATCTGCCTGCTTCTGTCTCCCTGAATGCTGGAATTACAGGTGTGTGCCACCATGCCCAGCCGATGCCTTGTGATTCACATCTTCAAAGACCTCTGAATAGAGGTCTTGATAATATATAACAGAACATCAGTTTGAAAAGAAAAATTTAAATAGTTCACACAAAAAGAAATTATAATTTTTAGTGTATCTTTTAGTTGCTATATGAAGCTCATAATTATTTGATAATTATGTTTTAATATTTATTTGGAAATTTTAGTCTAGTATATATCTGCTTTTCAGTTGTCTGATACTGTGGAAATAACTTATCCTATATTTATTTTCAAGAAAGTGTTTGTTAGTACGTGATGTGAGTCCAATTAGTTGCCAGCTGTATAGCTGGCTCCAGGATTGCCGGGTAGAAGGATTTGTGTTTGTATGTATAAGCAGGCTGTGATCACTGTAATTAGAAGGGAATGTGCTCTTTTAAGTTTTACAGATGATAAAGTGTACATTGCTTCTGTCCTGAGGGGGCTGATTGATGTTAACCAGACTTTATTACAATCTGATCCTATACAGAATGTGCTTTTCTTATTTTCTATCTATCTGTGATACATGGACAGGATTTCTTCTGCCAAGTACTTGAAGGTTTTTCTTACATTAATTCTGAGTTCATACTTCTTTGATTGAAATAAATGACAATGACAAAAACTGTGAGAAAGTGCCGTGATCTGACTCATTCTGTGTGAGAAGTCTGGAGAGCTCTGTGTTTCCCTGGAAAATCAGCTGTGTTACAAGGAGAAGGTCTTGGGTTTTCAGATTGTTGCTCAGTGGCCCACCTCATCACTCCGGAAGCTCCGTCAGACGGCCATGCCCCACCTGTCATGTCTGTCACAGAGGCGCTATGAATGCTTTGACTTCCCCGGCTGTCGTTCCAGCTTCCCCACAAGGTGCGTCTCAGAACATTCAGCAAAACATCTAAGGGTTGAAAGACCACAGAGGATCTGGGGGGTCACTCAGTAATATGACCCTTGCTCACATGCACGAGAATCTGGCTTTGATCCCCACTAACGCAGAAGTGAGTGGAAATGCCGCAGCAAAAGTGATCACATAACGGTGCTGGCTGCACAATCTCGTCATCATATGTGTTACCTTTCTTCGGAATGTTCAGTCAGGGATTGTGAGGTTTTTTTGTTTTTGTTTTTTTTTTTAGAAGCTGAGGCTGAAACTGTCTTTTTTTTTCTGATGGTAAATTTAAATAAGCATTAAAAAGTCTTTTGTCTCCAAACTTGACAGTAATTCTTTAGCTAATCTGTAGCTACCCTTGAGCAGATATTATGCATCTCCCAGGCCAGAGCAGTGGGTTACTTAGCCAGTCCAATTCTAATGGGTTAGCTCTCCTAATCTCCCGAAAATCGGTCTGTAGGGGAAACTAATCCTGAAATAACACTATAGAATTAGTGGGAATGAGTAAATTAATAAGTGTAGATAATTAGTACAGTACTTTCTGGCTTATAACAAGCCATAAATATTATGTATTGTTGCATTCATATTTATTTGGAAGGTAGCTGCAAATTGTTTAAGGTGAAACTTTATTGTACCTCTTTGTATAATTTGAGTTTCTAAGGTGTGTGTATCTGATTATCATCCACAGGTGATCAGGGTCCTTGTTCTGCAGGTGATGTCTGACCGACCACCTGGCTTATCTGCAATAAGACTCTGGTACCTGCACTTTAGCCAGATTCATCCTTCCCCAAATACTTCCTCTTAGTTGTCCATTTACTGACCTCACACTGCTCTTGGCTTACAACTTCCTGCTTGTCATGCTGTATTCAGAGTTGAGCCCAGTTTCTCCTTTGCAGTGTTCCATCGCATTGGTCCCTGTAGCTGTGACTGTGGTCCTCAGTTGTGTCTTCCTGTTGTGCTTTAACAAGTGCAGTTGCATGTTTTTCTTTGGCAGTGTGTGTGCTTGGGCCTAGAAAGGATTGTGGAGGCTGGAGAGGAGGCGTGGTGGTTCAGAGCACCGACTGCTCTTCCAGAGGGCCTGCTTACACCTGTCTGTAACTCCAGGGCCGGTGGGTCTGACTCCCTCACACAGACATGCATGCAGGCCAAACACCAAATACACACAAAAATTTAAATGAGTAAATAATTTTTAAAAGGATCACCTGAATCTGTTTCTCTCCATGTCACCATCCCCACCGTCATATCTTTTATAAATGCTTTGACGTCCCTGGCTGACATTCTAGCTTCCTGTAATCTGTTACATACAGAGCAACTCTGGTGACAGAATATGAGTAGCTTTGTATTCATACTTTAATTCAGAAATGCCACTCTGCTTTACTTCAGTCCACCCCGCAGTCAGTCCCAGGGTAAGCCCAGCCTCGTATCTTAACTCTCCAAGTTCCTACTGCACCAACATCTTAGGGACCACATTCCAGCTACCTGCTCCTCCCAATAAGCAAACACATTTTCACTTCACATGAGCTCTTCCCATTGTCCACAAGGCTCTTTCTAACCACATTTTGGATTACCTGTCACTTCCTCGTGGGATTACTTTCCACTGCCAATATAAAACGCACTTTGATCTCATCATGCGTTGTTTGTGTGGGTACCTGGCATTGTCACTCTGAAGTAGTGGGTACTTGTTTGTTGGCTTGCAATGTCTCCCACTATAAAATGTGCGGCCTGTCTTCCTGGCCACCTTAGTGTCCCAAGCCACACAGTACTTAGAGGAGATGACACCAAGCTGTTTTCCTCTGGAGTTCGCCAGCCGCTTGTCTCTGAGGTCTGGACTGTTGCACAGCAGCGTGGCCCTTTGCACCTGCTGGGTTCTCGTCACCTCGTGATGGATCTGTCTGTCAGCAGGGTGGACCAGTTGAGTGCCCACAGATTGGCAGCTGTGCGTTCTGTTGACCCTAGTCAGCTTAGAAGTGCCAACAGTGACGTTTTAAAGAAGCTGGAAGCACAGCCGCTTGATGTCCCGATGGCGAGTAATGAAGAGGCACTGCAGCACTCGAGAGGGAGAGCCAGTGAAATTGGAGGCACCCCGCAATCTCGCCAAAGTGATCGTCTTGGAGTTTGCTCTTCAGTCGTTCCCCATCTTACTCTTTTGAGACAGAGTGTCTCTTACCTGGAACTTGCCAGTTTTCTGCTGGGCTGCCAGCCAGAAATCCAAAGCATGAGGGTTACACACAGCCATTCTCATACCTTTACCTGAGTGCTGCGGATATAAAGGCGGGTCTTTGTGGCTGCTGAGTAAAAGCATAACCCACTCAGCCGTCTGGCTAGCCCACCAAAGCAAGTCTCGTGCCGTTATTTTCCCATCCTTGTATTAATCGACTTTTTTCTCTGCTTTTTCTGTATAAAAATATTACAGGGTTTTAGAGATGGCTCAGTAGGTGTCTGGGGTACAAACAAAAAGGCCAGAGTTTAATCCCCAGAATCCATATTAAAAGAACAGGTTTGATGTCTTGTGTTTGTAATCTCAGCAACTGGGGAGGCAGAGAAAGGCAGATCCCTGGGACTCGAGAGCAAGTCGTTCTAGTCTTCCAGTGAGAGACTTAGTCTTGAAAAACAGGGAGATTGAGCCTTGGTGCCACACATATGCCACACACACCTAATGCAACACACAATGCACTCGTAGGTAAAACAGCACAGAGAGAAAATGAAGAATGAGCAGGACCTGAGATGGTGCCATTGATCTCTGCCAGGTGCTTGTGGGAAAGATCCAAAGGGAAAACAGATGAAAACTTAGCTCATCTAGGAAGGTCACAGACATCAAATGCTCACATGCATTCACAAGTATAACTGTAGTGGCAGTGCTGAAAGACAAAGTCTTAAAAGAGGACTCATCACTCACAAAGAGTAAGATCCACTTCCCAGAAGCAGAGGAGGGCTGGGGCAGTCCTCACAGAAGGCCCTGACAGCCACAGACACATTCATTAAGTTGTCTTTGAAAAGTCAAAGTAGACAAAATGAATGTGTGTGTGTGTGTGTGTGTGTGTGTGTGTGTGTGTGTGTGCGAGCAAGCACATACATGCTCCACATCGCGCACAGGGCAGTATCCTTAGCTACTTTTGTGTGGATAAATGGATCCACAGATGGCAGCTTGTCTAAAGGCGGTGGCGCACACAGGGACTTTGCCAGCATATTTGGGGACAGTTACTGACCGTCGGTGCCTGCATGTTGCACGCTTGGACGTGCTTCCTGACACATATTAAGCACTCAGAAAAACAGTCCACAGGAAGGTTTGGCCCCGGGTCCTGCTGTTCGCCCAGCTAGGCAGCATGACTTTGACCTCCCCAATCTGCCTATATCTCTTGTTTGAGTTGTTCTGTCCCCAGGACATTCATACAGGCCAGCCGTGTGCAGCTTTGCTGGAACTGATCTGTATGTGTAAGGAACATGAAACATGGCACTTTGCATGTTAATTTTGAGTGAAGTTGTTTGAAACCCTGCTCTTACCTATGATTAATACATCTTCTCAATTATCAAAATTAACTCTTCAATAAGAAGTATAGTTGCCTGCCAGAATTGTTTTGTATCAGGAGTAAATAGGTAAGAGAAATCTTACAGTGGCTCTGGAGCCAGGGTGGCAGTGCTGTATTTTAAAGGTCGCCAAGTGACTCCTGTGTGGGGGTTAAAAGTGCACTGGTGTTCGGCATGATGCTCGCTAAATGGCCAACACTAGCTCTCCACCACAAACGTGCTGAGGAGCATAAGAGTCAGGAAATCATGGACTCTGAGCCGGAGCTTCATAAGGCACCATGGGTTAAGTTACGGATGCATTCAGTGTTCAGTGTTAGCTTTGTATAACTGCACATGTGAACTGCCTGTAGAAGGAATCAAAACCGTGGAAAGAGAGCTGATGAGAGAAAAACTGCTAAAACACAGGGAAGTCTAGAAGGAAAAGAGAAATGGAACAAGGAAGACTACTTACAAGATGAATTTTAAATGTTATGCACTTTAGAAGGCGGAATTATCTATTATGAGATCTTTGAGTTTGCACATGTGTTTATTCTGCAGCTTCTGTAAGCATTTAGTCTCTAACTGTCCTGAAAACATGAAGGATAAAAATGCTTAAAATAAGTCAGAGCAGACGGGCCAGTTTCCACTTAAAAAGTAAGTATTTCTGCTTTAAGCCAATATTTGCATTAACTTAGCAAAGCACAAAAGTTGCAGAGTACCTAGCTTGCTAAACCCTGCACACTGGCCTGTGTGCTTTCCTGGCCTGCTGTCCTCATTCTTCCCACCCAGGTGAGTGGCACACAAAGGCAGACTTACAGCAGCGTCGATAGCTGCTGTTCCAGAGGTGGGACAGACAGGGTATTGCATAGGAGAGTACAGCATCCAGTACCTGCCACCTGGCACCCAACAGAGCAAAATTACACATTTTACTAAAAATAAAATGTTCTGCGCACACCCATCGTATCATTGACCATCTTTTACCTCTTCCCTTCCCAGAAGTGAATATTGCATTAAATTCTATCTTACTGTGCCAGTGCATGCCATTACGTATCTCTGCATTTTGTACCCGCGACACAGTGTAGTGTGCAAACTTCATGTAATGGCCTGAGATTGTAGACACCCTTATGTAGGTTTTAGATAACCCTAAAGCATACCTTTTAGAGAGATATATTTTGATCAGGCACCTGAAACCTATTTACAGATACTCAGCAGTATTCTAGTTTATGAATCTCCTAAAATGCATTCATGTGTTTCTTGTCAGGATATGTTGGCATTATGTTTCAGCCTCTTGTTTTGGTTTTATTATTTTAAGGCGTTATGTGGCCCAGACTGGCCTCAAGCTTGCTGCACAACCCTGATTGCCTTCTGCCTTACGATCTTCAGGCTCAGCCTCTGGAGTGCTGGGATTGCTGACGCTCAGCTTCAGTCTTTTTCCCTTAACATTCCAGTAAGAACCTCTGAGCGTTCTTTTTGTGCATATGTTGGTTGATGGACATGTGTGTCATCAGTGTGTCAGGTTTCCCTCCAGAGTTGTTCCAACATGGGCCCCTATAGCACTTGAGAGCCCTTGTTCTACTCAGCCACCAATGGTTAGTCAGGACAGTCCTGTTGCAGTAATAGGCACAAAACCTCAGCTCCTTGGTCCAAAGAGTGCCACTCATCATAGCCCGACAGGACGAGGCTGGAGGCTGCGTCTGACATTGACTGTGAGGCAGGGGAAGACCCCGTGACATTCCTGTGTAAGAAATGGTGCGCCTTCATGCATAATGGAGCCAGACATGCCACTATCAGCCTTAAGTTCACAGAGTTTCCAGTCCTACCCCTAGGAACTTACTGTTTGGAAATGATTGCTACAGGTACTGACAAACTACAACTTTCATTAGTCCAGAGAGAATGAAATAATGTCATCATTTATATTTGTATGACTTAGGGAGGTTAAAAGTTACATGTTTCTTGGTCGCCTGTGTTTCTTAATCCCATTCTTTGTAAAGGGGGTGGTGGTGGCGATGAAGGTGGTGATGGAGATGGTGGTATAGGTGGAGGTGGTGATTTTGTTGGTTGTTTGGGTTGGTTTTTCTAGACAGAGTTTTTCTGTGTAACAGCTCTGGTTGTCCTGAAACTCACTTTGTAGACCAGGCTGGCCTCAAACTCACAGAGATCCACCTGCCTCTGCTTCCTGAGTGCTGGAATTAAAGGCATGCACCACCGTGCCCAGCTCTTCTTCCCATCCCTAATCCATTTGTACTGCTAATAACGATACCGTAAACTAACTTATAAAGAACAGAAATGTAGTTCTCTTAGCTCTAGCAGCCAAGATAATCTCCTGAGGTCTAGTGGAGGCCTCTACTGCACCCTCACGCAGGAGAGCATGGAAGGCAAGCTAGCCAGTGCCGTGCAGTCCCTTCAGAGACTCTAGAGCTGGACGTCATGGCACACACCCAGAATCTCGCCATTCAGGCAGGAGGATGGCAGCTTTGAGGCCAGCCTGGGCCTGATTCTACCTAAAGAAAACAAATCAAAAACATTTCTCAATACTGCCAAACTGCTAGCAACTGAATTTTGGAAGGGACAAATGTACTGAAATCATAGTGTATCTCTTTTCCTATTGCGCCTTCAGACGTGTGTGTATGCGTGGTCTGTGTGCACATCCGTGCACATGCGCAACTTGCACTCTGCATACTAACCCTTTATTGTTAGTCCTTCTTTAAGAATATGCATTTCATTCTATTCTGCTTAATGTGCCTTTAGTCACAGTTGTTTTTTTCTTTTTGTTTAGTTTTCCATGTTTCCTCACCTGGAACTCAAGAGTTTTGTTTTTGTTGGTGATGCTGGGTTGTTTGTTTGTTTGTTTGTTTGTTTGTTTTGTTAGACATGGTCTCACTGTGTCACCCTGGCTGTTCCAGAACTCACTGTGTAGAGCAGGCTGGCCTCAAACAACTTCTTCTACATCTCAGGGCATGCGGCTAAGCCTGGCAATATGGTCTTGATCTTCAAAGCTGGGATTCACACCTGCAGGAAGTTAATTCAGAATAAAATGCTATGTGTTGACTTTCCCCCTTTATTCTGTCTCTTTAAGGAATCTTTTTGGGTCTATTACTTACTGTAATGTTTACAGTTAAAAGTTGGGTGGGTTTTTTTGTTTTTTTAGATTTACCCTTCTCACATTTGGGTGAAGTGCAGCAGGAGGCTCTCCCTAGACCTTATGAGGTGATCTTGGGTCTTGGTGCTGTGTGAGGTATGAAGTGGGGTCTAGCTCTGTTTACAGAATTATTCTAGGTGCGGTCCTGACTGCCTTCACAGTGACTAGCAGACAGTGCTGCCTTTCATGCCTGTGTCTGTGTCTGTGTCTGTGTAGGCTCGGCCAGGTTGTTTGGTTGAATTGATTTCTTTGTCCAGCTCTGTGATAGTCATAAAGATTTATCTCGCATGTGTGCGTGCGAATGTGCTGCAGTATGCACAGAGGCCAGAAGAGGGCATCGGAGCCCCTAGAGCTGGCGTCCTAGGCTGTTGTGAGCCCCTGGCCTAAGTGCTGGGAGGGAACCAAACTCCATCCAGCCAAGTGCTCTTACCATCTGCCCAGCTCCACTGTTAGTGT